CAGTTATTTCCTTGTTCTAATGGGAATTTCCTTGTGTTGTAATAGTAAGGCACAAGTATAAAAGGAGTCGCCATTTCACAGATGAGAGGATTTAGAGCACAAACATGGTGCAGACTGTAGTCCTGTTGTTGCTGATCAGCAGTGCAGTGAGAAATATATAAAATGTGCAATTTCTTCTATTTCTGCTCTTTCAATCTTTGCATTCTATTTTAATTGTTCTTCATTCTTACCAATAACCTTGGTATTTGTTTCCTTTGCATTCATTTCATGTTAAATTCCTCATGTTAACCTGAACAGGCTCATGGACCTTAGTGTTGATGGATTATCAAATGAGTCAGGGACTGGTTCTGGTATGTCAGTGGAGGCTGACTTGGACACAAGTTTTCCGCAAGCCACATTTTTATCACCATTGCTTTTTTTAATTTAGGAGCTTTTCAAATTCATGACGGTAAACTTCATGGGCCAGTATTAGGGCCCGAACTATTTAAAATCAAATCTGTAGTTAGATAGACAGACAGACAGATAATAATAATAATAATAATAATAATAATAATAATAATAGTACTAGTAGTAGTTGTAGTTGTTGTTGTTTATTTATTTACTTTTCTGGTGGAAGGTCCTTCAAATGCTTTTCTCCATGGAGACATAATTGTTTTGTCTGCAGTGTTTTACATTATGGCATTAAACCTTTCTATCTTCATGGAGATCAAACCAGTCTTTCAGAATGCCTGTTTTTCTAGGTACTTTTGAGCTATAAAAACACCTGTAATTGAATAAATGTAAGAGCGGTTTAATGTCATACTGTGGAAGATTCCAGGCAGAGAAATGACATATCCATAGAAGAAAAGCAGATGATGGACCACCAACCAAAAAGTTACACGGTGCACCATTAAGTTTTCTTCACTGAAGCAGCATCCTTTTTAACGTTGTCCCATTATATTTTTTGTATTGATTATACTTCCGATTCTGATGTACAGACCTCTGTTTGTTCCATAATTTAATAGTTTTGGCTGCACTCTGTCTCCGTCTTCAAAAGTGTGAACCTCATGTGACACTTTTGAGGAAACTGTCTACGTATGAAACAAAAAGAGAATCTGAAGTATCCACCAAAAAACAAACAAATGGTATTAAATATGAAACATACCATTTATTGAGCAACTTAACTCTATATCCATCTATTTGTGAACAGATGAAATGTAAAAGACAATTCCATTTAAATATTAGGAGGGATATTTACTAAGATAGTGCTAGCAAACTTGATTTGATATGAACACATGGGAGTGGGAGGAATAGGAACATTTCTGGGAGGGTAAAACGCACTCAATACACACACTGGACACCCTCATATTGCAAAAGCAGAAAAGAATCTCAACCACAGACATGATGGAGACTGTAGTCCTGTTGTTGCTGATCAGTTGTGCAGTGAGTGGGGCCCAGGACAATCCGAATGGGGCCAAACCTGCTCAGTGCTGTGATGGTTCCATGTTTATGACTGTGGGAGCTCTGACAGAGAAAGTGGCAAATCTCATGGACAAAATGACACAAGTGGAAACTAAACTGGACAACACTGAGAGAGAGCTCACTGAACTGAAGAGCATCACTCACGGTAAGTATTGTATTACAACTCATTTCTACTGGCAGAATGTTCAGCAATTTTCATGGTGACACAATGCACCTTCAGATTGAATAGTTTAGTTTCATGTTTTTAAGACATGAAATTAAACTAAAACTTTTTGTGTGTAATGCAGCTTGCCCATTTATGAATTGTGTTATTTCAGGTACTCCTAAAATTGCCTTTTCTGCATCTCTCTATGAAACTGGCTCTGGAGACACGGGGCCATTCAACACCCAAACTCCTCTGAAGTACAAGAAAATCTACGCCAACTTTGGCAACAACTACAATCCTGCTACAGGTAAAGAACTGTGATTGGCTCAGTTTCAACTTCATATAGTCACCTGCCGTCATACAGTATAACATTATCATTTGTTGTTGTTTCTTTTATGAAGTCATTTTAGATGAATGTTGTGATTTAACATGTAATGATAAATGGGTGTCATAGATTATACATAAGAACAATAGATCTAAATTGTAAGCATTGATTACATCTTTATTCACAGGCATCTTCACAGCAACAGTGAAGGGGGTCTACTTCTTCCGTTTCACAATGTTCAACAACCTCAATTCAACTCCAAACTCCGTCCTGGTCCTGAGGAAGAATGGTGAACAGATAGTCACTCTGCATGACGTTTCAGGGACTGACGCCAATGACACGGGCAGTAATGCAGCAGTGCTCCCCCTAGAGGCTGGAGATACTGTGTACGTGGAACTTCAAGCCAACAACAGACAAGTGTATATGATGACACTGCTCACTACAACACCTTCACTGGGTTTCTGCTGTTCACTATTTAGCTTTGTGTGATGTTAACTGAAAGCACTGCTCTGTTAGAAGCTCTATTACTCGAATTAGACTTAAATTGAGCTTTATTTTTACACAGTCTGTCCAGAAAGAGCTGCATGGGAATCCAGAAGGATATCTCTCTGTATTTGTTATACAGCTCCATATCCTCAATGAATCTGGATTTTTCCAGGCAACAGAAAGAGCTGATTTGGTTGGAAGTACAACAGGTGAGATGATTTGTACTCTTAAAGGTGCATTGTGTAACTTTTCTCCATGGAGACATGATTGCGTCATCTGGAATGTTTCACAGTATGATATTAAACCTTTCTATCTACATGAAGACCAAACCAGACCACGTTACAGGTCAGATCTGTGGAGAAGCAAACCTCCTTACAGTCAGAATGCCTGTTTTTCTAGGTATTTTTGAGCTATAAAACCACCTGTAATTGAATAAATGTAAGGTAAAGCTGTCATACTGTGGAACATTTCAGGCAGAGCAATGACATATCCATATAAACAAGCAGGTGACAGACCTCCAAACTAAAAGTTACATAGTGCACCTTCAAACAAGTCTTTCACACATAAAATTACAGTCACAAGTCAGCCAACAGTTTTTCAGTTAGTCACTCTCATTTTAGTTGAAAATCCAACATCTAAACAAGGCCATGGAGAAAGAGGTATGACATTTATAGTTTCTTGTAGTGAGGAAAGTGGCTTTTGTAGGTAGAGTAATATATCGTCAGCATAGAGGATGATTTTACACTTGTTTGTTTACCTGTAATAGAGTGATCCTGACAGATAGCTGCAGCCAGGGGTTCAGTGCAGATAGTAAAGAGAAATGGGGAAAGTGGACATCCTTGTCTAGTTTTATTTGAATGATTTAACCATTGTCATAACAATTGAAAAACTGTATGTTTGTGAATTGTTGTTTAGTGTTAGTCTATTAATTAAGAGGTTTGAAGAGAAATGATGCAAAAGCGTTTTGCTCAACTCTGTTAGTTTGCATAACTGACTGCTTAGAAATGTCAGTGGTGGAAAAATAAATCACAAACTAAAAATAAATAAACCAATGTTCTTCAGGTGTTCATTACACTGACATGAATTAGCCTGCTGAGTATGTAACATCTGTACATAAGTTAGAGCACATTGTGTTTTGCTATTTTATCAAGATCATATCAAACTGTCAAAATATCAGTAAACATTACAGGTGCAGAACATCTCAGACATCTCCAGGGATCTCTTTTGATGATATAAGAAGGTGAAAAGTAAATCCAGATGTGCAGATATTGCCTAGTTAAGGTGAAATCTATGTGATCTACTGTATACTCGATAGTATAGAGTCTATACTATACTGCTAAACCAGGTAAGGGTCTCTCATGCTTAATCAGCTTAGTTAAGATAAATCATTGTCTATTTTATTTAATGCCAAAACTCCAAAAGCAGACACGGTGCCATTCATTACTGCTAATTCACCTCTGCTAATATGGCGTCCCTACCAGTTTTAGTTATGTGGATGCAGGAGATCTATATACCATTTTAAATCTTACATATTATTATTGCCCAAGTATCCACTGCTCAGACGTCTTTATTACTCAGCAGCACAATGGATGCAATAAAAGCCCATAAATGTAAGTAATCATTAAAGTATATAGTTTACCAAAGCAGGAATCTCCTTGTTCTAATAAGGTTCAAGTTTAAAAGCAGTCACCAGATCACATTATTGCAAAATATAATGGAAAGTCCCACTAAAACCCCATTCAAATAATAAACAAGTGAATGCACATAGTTTACCTAAGTGGGAATTTCCTGTTGTTGTGTAATGTTGCGACCGAGAACCCTTATTTACTCAAAGAATCCGTTCTGGCATAAAAAAGGACAAGGGCAATGTGGTATAGAAGTTACACATCTTTATTTAATCTTCTAAACATTTAAAAGAAACATTTCATTTTCCTGGTTCCCTTCTTGATACACCCCTCAAATATCATAAATGTAGGACTCAACAACACCCCAAACTAAAACACAACAAATCAAATTAATAAGCCAAACCAAACGTTAATACCAAAAAAAACAAACACTAGTTGAACCCTACATTTACAATAAGTTAAAGTGCGGGTGCGCTGTAAACCTGAATTATGTAATATTATTTAAAGTGCGTATGCCAAGGTATCTGAGGTAGACTTTGTTACAATAAAGGGCATAAAATTAAAGCTGGTGAAAGTGCTCGTGCTAAGGAGGCCTACCTGGGCGAAAGTGACTTGTGCCAACCCTGAGACCTGACCTTGCATTGCACTGACCCCCTGACCAAATATTGCACTTCCCTCCAAGACCTCGGCTACTGTTAATCAATATTCAACTAAAACCAACACTAAGATAAAGAATAAAAAGCAAGAATAATGCAGCAGTAGCAATCGCAAATTTAGAAGGGGGAGGGGGGCACTCTACATGGGGCTCCGAGCGCGCTACGAGCGGCCGCCGGCACCACCGCCTACTCCAGACAACACGCGCTGCCTCCAAAAGCCACCGAAAGCCCCGACGCCACACCACAGCGTGCGCAGCCTTTTCTAATCGCGCAATCAGTGACGCCAGGAGCCACGCGCAGCGACGCACAGGTGGACGCACTCACAGACGCAACACAGCAGGACAACATAGTCTAATCACCCGGTTACAGTTGTAATAGGCACAAGTATAAATGGAGTCAGCATTTCACAGATGAGAGAATTTAGAGCACAGACATGATGGAGACTGTAGTCCTGTTGTTGCTGATCAGTTGTGCAGTGAGTGGGGCCCAGGACAATCCGAATGGGGCCAAACCTGTTCAGTGCTGTGATGGTTCCATGTTTATGACTGTGGGAGCTCTGACAGAGAAAGTGGCAAATCTCATGGACAAAATGACTCAAGTGGAAACTAAACTGGACAACACTGAGAGAGAGCTCACTGAACTGAAGAGCATCACTCACGGTAAGTATTGTATTACAACTCATTTCTACTGGCAGAATGTTCAGCAATTTTCATGGTGATACAATGCACCTTCATAATTGAATAGTTTAGTTTCATGTTTTTAAGACATGAAATTAAACTAAAACTTTTTGTGTGTAATGCAGCTTGCCCATTTATGAATTGTGTTATTTCAGGTACTCCTAAAATTGCCTTTTCTGCATCTCTCTATGAAACTGGCTCTGGAGACACGGGGCCATTCAACACCCAAACTCCTCTGAAGTACAAGAAAATCTACGCCAACTTTGGCAACAACTACAATCCTGCTACAGGTAAAGAACTGTGATTGGCTCAGTTTCAACTTCATATAGTCACCTTCCGTCATACAGTATAAACATTATCATTACCTCTGCCAAGGAGGTTATGTTTTTGCCGGCGTTTTTGTTTGTTTGTTTGTTTGTTTGTCTGTTAGCAACATAACTCAAAAAGTTATGGACCGATTTTGATGAAATTTTCAGGATTTGTTGGAAATGTGAAAAGGAAGAACTGTGTTCATTTTGGGGGTGATCGGGAAGAAATCCTGGATTCTGGATCACTTTGAAATTTTAGTTAACATTGTGGTAAATGGGGCCAAAAATTTAGTTTCTCAATATCTCGGTTAATTATTGACCAAACCCCATGAAATCTGACTCAGGGATGGACAATGGGATCCTCTTTCATATTCCAAAGGCTGATCCGGATCTGATCCAGAAGACTGATTTTATCGCAATTTATATAAAAAATGGGGGGTAGTCCTTGGCGGAGGTCTGCGCTCTCTGAGTGCTTTTCTAGTTTGTTGTTGTTTCTTTTTATGAAGTCATTTTAGATGAATGTTGTGATTTAACATGTCCAAATTATAACATAATGATAAATGGGTGTCATAGATTATACATAAGAACAATAGGTCTAAATTGTAAGCATTGATTACATCTTTATTCACAGGCATCTTCACAGCAACAGTGAAGGGGGTCTACTTCTTCCGCTTCACAATGTACAACAACGTCAATTCAACTCCAAACTCTGTCCTGGTCCTGAGGAAGAATGGTGAACAGATAGTCTCTCTGTGGGACATTTCAGGGACTGACGCCAATGACACGGGCAGTAATGCAGCAGTGCTCCCCCTAGAGGCCGGAGATACTGTGTACGTGGAACTTCAAGCCAACAGACAAGTGTATGATGACACTGCTCACTACAACACCTTCACTGGGTTTCTGCTGTTCACTATTTAGCTTTACTTAGCATTTGTTTATTATCTGCAATTAAGCAGCTGACTACAGTACATAACAGAACTAAACCTACTAATATTTGTTGCTGGCTTTTGATACTTTGCAACCTTCCCTGGGGTGTGATGCTAACTGAAAGCACTGCTCCGTTAGAAGCTCTGTTACACGAATTAGACTTCATCAGATTTTTATTATAACACAATAAAGTATGTCCAAAGAAAGCTCATTTGTTTAGAACTACAACAGCTGAGATGATTTGTGCTCTTAAAGGTGCATTGTGTAACTTTTCTGATGGAGGGTCCACTACACGCTTTTCCCCATGGAGACATTATTGCTTCACCTGGAATGTTTCACAGTATGAAATTAATAACCTTTTTATCTACATGGAGAACAAACCAGACCAAGTTACAGGTCAGATCTATGGACGGGCAAATCTGCTCTCAATCAGAATGCCTGTTTTTCTAGGTATTTTTGACCTATAAAACCATCTGTAGCTGAGTAAATGTAAAGTAGATCTGTTTAATGTCACACTGTGGAACACTCCAGGCAGAACAGTGACACCTCCATAGAAACAAGCAGGTGACCTACACAGAACCATGGATGCTCGTTTTGATCACAGTCTTCTCAAAATGCTTTTTAAATCCATTTTGAATCTGTTCTTGAGTATTCAGATGATCTTATAACTGTTTTTGGGCAGTGTTTGCTAACGTGTGCATTGCGTCGCCACAGAAACTGCTGAAAATTCCAATAGACATGCATTATATATATTATAAGTATCAATTAAAGAATCATTTTAAAGAAGTTCATGGCCGATGTCTTTTGTTGGTGGGAGGAGAGAGGAATAATTGTTGCTTCTTCTATTTTACTGTATCGTATATCTTCAAATACAATATTCCCTCTTTAACCTGCACTTATCAGTGAGTTTCAGAATAACAAAATAGCACTGTTGTCATAGCAATCCATAGCAAGTCCTCAAAATGGCATTTACAAACAGGAAACTGAAACCCATGAAATTGAATAAATGTCCATGTTGAATTGCTGATTATTTTCATAATTATTAATAAAATTTATTTGTAAATTTATGTATCTTTATTTGTAAAGACGCCATTGATCTGTAACTACAAATAGCAACAAATATGTTACTATATTAGAAATAATTATATGTTATATCCCCCATCATTATGAGCCTGTCCAACATTTTCAGGGACATTTTACTACTCAAATTATATTTTATTTTTATATAATTATTCATTTGTATAGCAACTATGGAGGACTAAAAACAACATAATTACAAATAAATGTGGCAAATAAAGGTGGACATAAATAAATGATTAAAGACAAAATATAAAAATTGTTTTTACATGTAAATAAATAAAAGTAAAAATAAAATAAAAAATGAAATAAATACATGTGCAAATTAATAAATGAGTAAAAAAATGAAATTTATAAATTCATACAAAAATATATAAACAAGCCTATTTTAGTTTTTTAATCCCAAGAATGTATGCACATATGTATAACAGCATTTATTTATTTATGTACACATTTAGATTTTTATTTACCATTTAATTTAATACTTTCCAACTTTTATTCTTTTATTCATTTATTTCTAATTATGCCATTTTTGGTCCTCCATAGGCAACTGCCCTAAATTTCATCATTCCGAGGCCCATGGATAGGTGTTAAATAAAGTGTGCAATAGAAACACAATTTTATCTGTTATGAAATATGTTTAATTATTTTATACCATCAAAATGACTTAAGGATACTCTGAGATACACACTTAGTTATATTACAAAATTAAAATAACAGCATCAGGAAAACTGGTTTAATATGAGCATTTTAAGCCCAAAATGATGAGGCTCACAGCAGCAGTTACAGAGAGAGGAGCGACATTTTTTCAATAGAAAGTGAACTGGAGACAAAGTTGATGGAACCAGAAGTGCGCCCATTCTTACATAATATTTGGAACATGGCAGCTAGTGAGTTAACTACGTCTATTCATTTGTACAGTCTACGGGCAGCAATGAAAACTGTTGCTGTGTCCTTAAGAAAAACAGTTCATCCACAATGCCTAGTATGAATGTTGATGTTAGTGATGGCCAGAGGGACCCATGGAGCAGATTGGTAGACTCAATTCTAGTTTAACCCAAGGCAGCTGTGGCTACAATAATAACTTATTAACCACCAACGTAGTCGTAATAGTAGTAATTACCACGTACTTTGCCTGACCCAGCCAATCCCTTCTACAGTCTGTTTGAATCCAGAAGGGACTAGAACAGGACCATAGACCGTGAAAAACCTTGGTCCAAACTTGAGACGATCCAACCACAGCTGCTAATTTGTGGCACCAAAAGTCTCGTAACATTCAGGACAAAATGTATAACTTCTTATACCTGAGATATTTAACAGTTTGGTGCTTTGATTGTTGACACTGTAAAAATCTGCATTGTTTCTCGGTCCTTTACTATATGTTGGTTTTTCTCCCTTTTTATGTGTAAACCGCTTGTTTTTAATGCAAACAGACCATGCTTCGCTCTGATTGGTTAATCCACCTGTCAATCTCGACCTCTGAAATCAGGGAGACAGGATACAGCTCCAGATCCACTCGTATTTGTAAAGTTTTTTTCAAAGCGTGTAGTTCTGGCTGGTCAGGGAACTAATTACTAGAAGCAGAAGTAATTACTCTTTGTAACCACCACCAAGTGTGGACTGAATGAACAATGCAATGTAAAGCACTTTGGGGGTCATGAAAGACCTGTATAAACCAGAGCATTATTGGTCCAGTGAGGTTCATTTGCTCTTCTGATAATTTATGTTATTAGATTCTTTTTTTCAGACCAAGAGTTTGTTTTCATAGCTGACAGTTTCGACTGCTCACTAGAGCTCTTCCTCAGAGTGGTCTATGAACCGGGGACAAGGGGGCTTTTTTACTCTGACATACCTGGAATACCATTCTGAGTAAGGTGGACTGCAGATGGCGCTGTCGTCCTGCTTCCACCGGTAGGAAGACAGTGCCAAAACCTGTATAAATCAGCTGACCGGACACGTCACAGCAGCAACACGCTACCGCTCTGACGAAGAGCGCTAGTGAGCAGTCGAAACTGTCAGCTATGAAAACAAACTCTTGGCTAGTGCTTTAATATTATTATTACCATTTGAGTTTCTGTAACAATATTCACTTTTATACAGCTTTTAAAATATTACTAAATATTTAGTTTTAATTCATTCAATTAAATATCTCTACAAATATGTATTTAAAAATCCTATATTATGCAAAATTGACTCTTGTGAGTTTAAAGCCATGTTAATTTGTTGTTACCTCATCAAAACAGACCTGGAGTTGTGTTTTGTTTCATTCACATGTTTGAGTAACTCTGTATTATTAGTCTGTCTACATCTCCAAAGCTCAAAATGCCCTGTTACACCTTGCGATGTCATGTAGTGGTAGTTTTCATATAAACAGCTACCTTTTAACTTTAGTTCAATAGAGATTGGAAATTCCAGAGCTGATATTATCCAAACGATTCTAGTGAAAATGCATGGAGTTTAAAAACACACTGGAGCACTTCCCATATTAGCACATGACATCACAAGGTGGAACAGAGTGTTTTCAGTTTATGAGAAGAACTCTTTATGTGTTAAGTAAAACACAAAACACATGTTCGGGTATGTTTGTGATGAGGAAACAACATTATAACATAGATCAGAAAATAGCGTGATACGGGCCCTTTAACATTTCTCGACATGTAAACATCTTTTCTTTCATTGCTTCTTAACAAAGAGTCTGGCGGAGCACACTGCCTCCCCGTGGTCATTGGTGGCTTTGCAGGTGTACACGTTGGCGTCTTCAGAGGAGACATTAGACAGAACGAGGGTACAGCGGCCATCTTCTTCGTACTCGATCTCCACGGACGAAGATTCAACAACAGGATCGTCCCCTCGCAGCCAGACCACCTCTGGGTCTGGGTAACCTGCAAATACCAGGGAGACTATCACTTTAAACTCTCTTAATTAAAGGTGCATTGTGTAACTTTTCTGGTGGAGGGTCCATCAGATGCTTTCCTCCACGGAGATGTTATTGCCCTGTCTGGAATGTTTCACAGGGTGGTGTTAAATGTTCCTATCTTCATGGAGACCAAACCAGACCAAGTTACAGGTCAGATCTGTGGATATTTAAAATCTTAAATATAATGATTTTAACTGTGTTTAACTGAATTTAACCTGTTATAGGCACTTTAAAGATGGTAATGTTAACAACTCAACTACTACTACTAGTAATATTACTACTAGTAGTAGTTTATTGGTTTATGATACTACGAGTACTACCTCTATCTACAACAACAATAACTACTACTACTTCTACTTCTACTACTACTACTACTACTACTACTACTACTACTACTACTACAAATAAAATTATTGGTTTATTTTACTAGTGCTGCTATTACTACTACTACTACTACTACTACTACTACTACAAAACAACAACTACTACAAAAACAACAAAAACAACTACGAATACAACTACAAATATTTTACTGGTTTATTTTACTAGTACTACTGCTACTATTACTACCTACAACTACTTCAACTACTACTACTAATACTAGAACTACTATAATAATTACCACAAAAACTACAACTACTACAACTACTACAACTACTACTACTACTACTATTACTACTGCTACTACAACATTGTGATTCCTGTATGTCCTTTATGCCTCTGGTCTGTGACCTTTGGTAAGAGTGTGCAGTATTTAGATACACAGTGTGTTCAAAATTGCTGAGTGTTGTGTTTTGGTTCTGCAAAAAGGGAATTGCAGTTTTCATATGAGAGTTCAAGTCCTATATTGCACAAAGGATTCTTGTGAGCCTTAAATCATAAACAATATTATTACCTCCTCAAAAACATACCTGGAGTTTTGTTTCATTCACACATGTTTGAGTAACCCTTTCTTATTAGTCTGTCTACATCTCCATAGCTTAAATGCTCTCTTCCACTTTGTGATGTCATGAAGTGGTAGTTTTCAAGTTACCCACTACCTTTTAGTTTTAGAAGCCAGCCTAAATATGCAGAGTTTGTGTGTTAAACATGTGTGAATTAAACAAAAACACAACAGTAGCAAGTTTTGACAAGATACGCAGAAATTTAAAAGCTAGTACCCCTTTAGAAAATCTCAAGACTATCATCATAAACAGGTGGATCCAGAGCTGACCTGTGAGGTGGCAGGACAGGCGAGCACTGGAGCCCAGGGAGGAGGTCTGATCCTGGGGCAGCACTGTGAATCGAGGGGGGCCCTGCATCTTCTTCTCCAGCGACTGCAGGGCATGCTCCGCCTCAGGGGAGAGGGGAGGGCCTGGCCAGAGTCACAGACAAACAGGGTTAAGAAGAACGAAACAACATTATAACATAGATCAGGCGGACACTGGACAAACTGCCTCCATAATGGACACTCCTGCTCACCCACTGCACCAGACTGTAGAGGGACAGATAATACTCCCTACAACTGTACAACAACTCACCCACTGCATCAGACTATAAAGGGACAGAGGAGCTCATTCTCCAACAGGCTCCTACAGCTCCACTCAAACCGTGAGAGACACAGGACTACATTCATACTATAATACTCCCTACAACTGTACAACAACTCACCATTTAGTAATATTATACTCCCTACAACTGTACAACAACTCACGATTTAGTAAAATAATACTCCCTACAACTGTACAACTCATCTTTATGTAAAAGATAATACTCCCTACAATGGTACAAGAGCACATCCTTAAGTAACAAGTAATACTCCCTATAACTGTACAACAACTCACTATTTAGTAATATAATACTCCCTACAACTGTACAACTCACCTTTATGTAACAGATAATACTCCCTACAACTGTGCAACAACTCACCCTTGTAAGGCAGATAATACTCCCTACAACTGTACAAGAACTCACCTTTATGTAACAGATAATACTCCCCACAACTGTACAACAATTTGCCCTTATGTAAGAGATAATACTCCCTACAACTGTACAACAGCTCACCCTTATGTAACAGATAATACTCCCTACACCTGTACTACAGCTCAAACTTATGTAACAGATAATACTCCCTACAACTGTACAACAACTCACCTTCATGTAACAGATAATACTCCCTACAACTATGCAACAACTCACCTTCATGTAACAGATAATACTCCCTACAACTATGCAACAACTCACCTTCATGTAACAGATAATACTCCCTACAACTATGCAACAACTCACCTTCATGTAACAGATAATACTCCCTACAACTGTGCAACAACTCACCTTCATGTAACAGGTAATACTCCCTACAATCTGTACCCTTATGTAACAGATAACCCTATGTCCTGTGAGGTTGTCTAAAGTCTACGTCTAAGAAAATAGCATAATATGGGCCCTTTAAAAATGCAATGTTTTTTGTTCAATATTGTACTAAAAGAATCACTGACCGTCTGCGGAGCTGCTGGACACTGTACTGTCCCCTCTTGAAAGCAGAGCCATCCTCTTCAGGGCCAGCATGGCTTTACCAGCTTTCTGTTCACACAAACAGATTCACATATCAGGGTAACAGTCATTTTTACTTGACACTGAGTAAGCCTAACTAGTCCTGGTCTAGTCCTGGTCTAGTCCTGGTCTAATCCTGGTCTAATCCTGGTCTAGTTCTGATCTAGTCCTGGTCTAATCCTGGTCTAGTTCTGATCTAGTCCTGGTCTAATCCTGGTCTAGTTCTGCTCTCATCCTGGTCTAGTCCTGGTCTAGTTCTGGTCTAGTCCTGGTATATTTCTAGTATAGTCCTGGCATAGTCCGGGTCTAGTCCTCCTTTAGTCATAGTATGTAGCTGATGACTCCACACACTTTAGTCCTGGTCTAGTTCTGCTCTAATCTTGTTCTAGTCATGTTTTAGTCCTGGTCTAGTCCCGGTATAGTCTTGTTTTAATCCTGGTCTCACCAGGGTCTAGTCCTCCTTTAGTCATAGTCTTGTCTTGGGCTAGTCCTGTTTTAGTCCCACTTTAGACCTGGTTTTGGGTAACATATAGTAATTTTTCCTTGACACTGAGTAAGTCTAAATGGTCATGATGCTAAAATTTCTAAATCAATTTCAATACTAAGGAATAGATTTGATACGCAATACTGATTCTGATACCGTGAAGATAATAAAAACACTCTTTATTTAGACAACAGAATGTGATGTCAGTACTACTAATATTTTACTTGGATGAATACTGTACTACATGGATACTGTACTACACTGATGTACCTTCCATTTCTGTCGGGCTAAGAACTTCTTCATCTTCTCTTTGGACAGACTCTTGACGGACGCTGAGTCTTCAGAGTCAAATGCTGCCATCCAGTGGTGAGCAAGCGCCTCTGCACATGTCAGCCTGCGCCTAAAGGAACAAATACTATCAGTCCAAAATGTACTAAATGTTTATTTTAAACAAGTATTTCTATTACTGTTATTACTGCTATTTCTACTACAATTACTTAAAATTATTATTCCCTATTACTTCTACTATTGTTAAAGGACCCATATTACGTTTTGTTTTGTTTTTTTATCTGTTATAATGTTGTTTCCTCATCACAAACAGACCTGGAGTTGTGTTTTGTTTCATTCACACATGTTTAACACACAAACCCTGCATATTTAGGTTCTTCTCTCAAACAGAAAATACTTTGTTCCACCTTGTGATGTCATGTAGTAACACAGAAAGTGCTCCACTGTTTTTTAAACTCCATACACCTTCACTAGAATCATTTGGATGAAATTGAAATTGGATAATTTCAGCTCTTGAAATGTCTTGAATAGAGTTTTTAGACTATCTTAAAACGTTTGTGGCAGTGTTTGCTAATGTGTGCATTGTATCACCATGGTAACTACATGTAGAACACCCCCAGCATGATGCCACTGCAAATTATCAGTACTACAACAACTACTATTATTACTTCTACCACCACTATTATTTCTACTATTTCAACTGATATACCTACTACTACTACTACCACTACTACTACTACTTTAACTAATACACCTACTACTACGACTACTACTACTTTAACTAATATACCTACTACTACTACTACTACTACTACTACTACTACTACTTTAATTAATATACCTACTACTACTACTACTTTAACTAATATGCCTAGCACTACTAGTACTACTAGTACTACTACTACTACTACTACTACTACTGCTACTACTATTTCAACTAATATACCTACTACTACTATTACTAATCCTAGTGGTACTTTACCTGGGGTCCTTGTTGAGCAGGGAGCTGATGAAGTTCTTTGCTTCTTCTGAGATGTCTTCAAAACTCTCTTCATCAAACTCGTAGTGAGCGGCTGTGACCAGAGCCAGTGTCTCTGCGTCACTGTTTCCCTGGAACGGGGACTCTCCACTCAGACTGGGACAAAAACACACCACTATTTAGAGTATGTATTTATTTGTATTGTCTTTTTGGTCCTGCTTTAGTCCTGGTCTAGTCTTGGTCTAGTCCTGGTCTAATCTTGGTCTAGTCCAGCTTTAGTAATGTTTAATACTGGTTTAGTCCCAATTTAGCCCTGGTCTAATCTTGGTTTAGTCCACCTTCAGTTTTTTTGCTGGTTTAGGCCTGATCTTGCCCTGGTCTCATCCTGGTCTAGTCCTATGTAGCAGATAACTTTAATTCTCCATGCACTTTAGTCCATCTTTAGTACTTTAGTTCTGGTTTATTTCTGGTCTAGTCACGGTTTAGTCCGGTCTAGTCCTGGTTTAGTGCTCCATACACTTTAGGCCATCTTTAGTACTGTTTTAGTCCTGGTTTATTCCTGGTCTTGGTCTTGTTTTAGTCCTGGTCTAGTACTGGTCTAGTCCTTCCTTATTTCTGGTCTAGTCCTCCTTATGTCCTGGTCTTGTCCTGGTCTCGTCCTGGTGTCATCCTGGTCTCGTCCTGGTCTAGTCCTGGCCTTGTCCTGGTCTAGTCCTGGTCTCGTCCTGGTCTCATCCTGGTCTCGTCCAGGTTTAGTCCTGGTCACTCACAGTATGTAGCCGATGCTCCAGAGATCAATGGCTGGACTTGCTGGTTCATAGTTGGTCTAGTCCTGGTCTTGTCTTGGTCTCATCCTGGTCTTGTTCTGATCTAGTCCTGGTCTAGTCCTGGTCTAGTCCTGGTCACTCACAGTATGTAGCAGATGACTCCGATGCTCCACAGATCAGTGGCTGGACTCACTGGTTCATAGTTGATGACTTCAGGAGCGACAAACTCTGGGGTCCCCTGCATCACTTTGAGAGAGCCACTGTCATCTGCCACGAACACACATTTTTAAATTTATTTTAATTTTGTTTACTTGACATTATTTCACATTATATTGTGTCATGCAAAATAAACGCATACAAAATAATTCCTAGTATTATTAACTTAAAGGTGCATTGTGTAACTTTTCTGGTGGAGGGTCTGTCACCTGTTTGTTTTTACAGATATGTCATTGCTCTGCCTGGAATGTTCCACAGTATGACATTAAACAGCTCTACCTTACATTTATTCAATTATAGATGGTTTTATAGCTCAAAAACACCTAGAAAAACAGGCATTCAGACTGTGAGCGGGGTCGCCTCTCCACAGATATGACCTGTAACTTGGTCTGGTTTGGGCTCCATGATGATAAAAAGTGAAACTTTCCAGACAGTAAGTAATAACATCTCCATGGAGACAAGCATTTGATGAATTTTTCTTTAAAAAAAAAAAAAAAGAAAACAATGAATGAATAAATAAAATAAAAGTGTATATCTCTTACCCAGGCGACAAGCTAACCCAAAGTCGATTATCTTGATTTCGGTCCCACTGGGGTCCACACACACGATGTTCTCGGGCTTCAGGTCCAGGTGCAGGATGTTTTGCTGGTGCATGAAGGCCATGCCCTCCAGGATCTGCCTCATGTAGCGAGCGCTCGTCATCTCCGTGTGCTCGAAACTGTCATCCACGATTCGCTCAAACAGCTCTCCCCCCGCGATACTGTGAAGCAGAGGAGGGAAGAACTGAGACTCTGCACTGACATTGCGCTGGGGGTGTTCTACATGTATGTACTAATATTGCTGGGTTCTATAGGACAGTTTATTTATATTATTTAAAGGTGCATTGTGTCTGTCACCTGCTTGTTTCTATGGATATGTCATTTCTAACATTGCACAGTATGACTTTAAACAGCTACCTTACATTTATTCAGTTACAAGTGTTTTTATAGCTCAAAAATACCTTGAAATACCTTGGCATTCTGATCATTTTTATTCAGATCTGACCTGTAACTTGGTCTGGTTTGGTCTCCATGAAGATAAAAAGAATTAATATCACCAGAAAGGTTACACAATGGGGTCATTCCACCTCAGTTCACCCAAAACAAATTGCAAATTGAACCCTCACATTGCTCAGTTGCAAAGAACATTGGTGTATGGGTAAGTCATACTTAAGAAAGCCCAAATCTCAAATTTTAGTATCAGTTGTGGAGACATCGTAATTTCATTTTTCCACTTTTTTCGCTGAATTTCAAATTGTATTTACTCAGCAACTACGGGTCCGATATCAAAAACCAAGGTATCTCTGGAAAGGAGAAATACGAACTCGAGTTACACAGCTTCAGACAGAGCAGTGCCCTCAGTTACCATCACACCCCAGAGGTATGTAGATGACATCTGCTGCAAAGTATGAATAAGATAAAAGATGTAAAAGTACTACTCACAACTCCATGACCATGACCATCTCGGGGTGGTGGTCGTACGCCCCAAGACACTGCACCAGTTTGGGATGATGCAGGAAGTTCATCAGCTCGATCTCCCTCCGTGCGGCCTCTCTCTCCTTTGACCTCCGACCTTTGTAGAACTTCCCAGCGCAGACCCGACCGTTTTCTTTGTGCGTCAACTTGTACACATGTCCAAACTTACCGCTGGAAAACAAAGGTCCTATATTACGCAAAATTGTTTCTTGTGAGTTTTAAACCGTGTTATAATGTTGTTAGCTCAAAAACAGATCTGGAGTTGTGTTTTGTTTCAATATTCCTTTATTATTAGTCTGTCTACATTTTCAAAGCTCAAAATGCTCTGTTCCACCTTGTGATATCATGTAGTGATAGTTTTCAAGTTAACAGTTACCTTTTACTCTTTATTCAGTACAGACTGGCAGTTCCAGGTCAGAAATTATCCAGATTGTTTTAGTGAAGGTGTAAGGAGTTAAAAACACAGTGGAGCACTTCCTGTACTACTACATGACATCACAAGATGGAACAGAGTTGAGTCTGTTTGAGAACTTAACCTAAATATACAGGTTTTATGTGTTAAACATGTGTGAATGAAACAAAACACAACTCCAGGTCTGTTTGTGATGAGGAAATAACACTATAACATAGACAAGTTCTTTAAGTAAAATTTCCATTAATTTTTCCCTTAGACATTTAGAAAAATTCAAATATTAAGAATTCAAAAACATCACAGAGGCTAACCAGCTACATACTAAAAACAACATGCCATCTCCATTAAAGATGCACAATGTAACTTTTTTGGTGGAGTGTCCGATACCTGCTGGTCTCTTTGAAGAGTTATGACTTTATGTGGAATATCACGCAGTATAGCATTAACCTTAGGGTCATTCCACACCAAATCTCTGAATGCCCCCGCTCGCCCATCTCAGATTTGACTGAAAAAATTCTAGGAGGTTCATATGCCTTCCATTAGGAAAAGTCTCAAATTTTACCTCCCAACTCCTTATACTTGTGTAATTAAAAAAAAAAAAGGTCAACTAGGAGCCACTTTCAGATTGCTGTATCTAAAAAACTATTTAAGATATGTCCTTTAAAATTTTCAAGGGTTAAAATTTGTCAAATATACTTATAGAATATGGACTTTTACACATGTGCTTTTGATTTATCACAGATTTCTGGGGGTTTGAATTTGTTCGAAAATTCTACTCTTCAAATATGAGAGCATTTTTGAAGGACTGTGGAAAGTGCAATTTTAAAGACAGATGTTCCCACACATGGTGTGTACTTTGTATTTTAAAACTGACCCTCTAGAAGATAATAAGTGTTAAAAATGGAAAAAAACAATTATTTGGTGCCATCTTTACCCTGTTATACCAAAAAAATGACAGCACCCACCAACATAAAATGGACCGTTTTAGAAAGACTAGATGTCTGTTTTTAACATATTTGTGATGGTGTGATGAATTTTTGAAAATATGGTGTTAGGAGATTTGACGTGGAATGGCCCCTGATATATATAAATTTAATAACAGCTTAAAAATACTTTTTTATTTCTTTCTGTCTTTACTTTTTGCAGTCTTCGTTGAATGCAGTCCTACATACTCACACTCCCAGTTTCTCCTGGAGGATGTAGTGATCTGTGACTTTGTGAGTGGAGTCAATGGTGACGTGGGTGTACGCTGCTGGGACCTCCTCTGTCTGAGATCTGCAGCCTGGAAAAATCACAAAAGATTTAAAGATGGTCTAAACTCCATCCAAAGCCTCCATCTAAACGTGAGATGATCCAACCATAGCTGCAAATTTATAAACTAAAGCCGCTTGCAGAGATGATGGCCCTTGCCTTGGTGCACAAGCCCCTCCCACACAACCGCCGGGCACTCGTGATCATTGCGACATGTCACCCTCACTTCCTGCCCAGACTGACAGCTCGTCCACCAGACAAATTACATAATGTACCTGTTTGCTAATGCAAATAATGCAAATGTATTTTTAGGAGTCATTGCGCCCCTGCTGGCCAACCATGAAAAATGCCCCATGTCCATAATATATAGTTTAGCTTGTAGTTATGCATAGAATTTAATGACTGATTTTGGTTCAAATCTGATAATGTTGATGTTTCATATCTATGGTAGGGGGCATTTATAGTGTCTTATAATCAGGCCAAAATCACTCATTAGTGAAACACATTTCATCACGATCGGACTAAGCCTGTGCGTGTAAGATATTTTGACCTATTATTTGGGGGATTCTTTGTGCCCCTGCTGGCCAACTATGAAAAATGACACATGTCTGTAATATATATTTTTTGCTTGTGATCATAGATAGAATTTAATCTCTGAATTTGGTAGAAGTCCGGTAATGCTGATGTTCATGTCTATGGTAGGGGGCGCTATAGTGGTCATGTTTCATATACTTTATAGTATATTATAATCAGGCCATGATCAGACATAAGTGATTCAATGAAGAACAATAGCATTAGAAAATAGGCATTCTGACTGTGAGCAGGGTTGCCTCTCTATGAAGATAGAAAGGTTTTATACCATATTGTGAAGTATTCCAGACAAAGCAATAACCATGAAGAAAAGCATATGATGGACCCTCCACCAGAAAAGTCACACAATGCACTTTTAAATCCCATTCATTTCACACTCATAGGAAGACCATTTGAAAAGTTCACCTTTCTTTTCCATCTTTAGAGGTGTGGACTCTGGTCCTGGTTCACTCACTCCCACTGTGTTGAAGGCCTTTACCCGAAAACAGTACTCCTTCTGGGGCTCTAACCCTGAGGACACCCTGTACGATGTGCTGGTGCAGTTATGGCTGATCGCAGTCCAGTTGTCGCTGTTTCTCTCCTTCACCTGCAGGGGGAGTCAAGATTCACATCACGTCACATTCACATCTCGTGAAAAAGTCAAGGTATGTTTAAAGGCCCTATTTTACACAAAATTGATTCTTGCACTGCAAAATCAAGTTAAGATGACTTGAATTAAGAATATTTTTTCATGATTTGAGTAAATTTCACTTGACAAGTAAAATGATCTGACAGTGGAATAAGACTTTTTGCACTTAAAATATGAAAATACACCTAGGTACACTTAAAAAAACAAAAAAACAAACAAACACTCCTTGCACTTAAAATAAGAAACACAACTGAATGCTGTTTGAATTAAGAAAAACACTTATTCGATTGGTAGTTTATTTTACTTGGCAAGTTGAATCGACTAAAATAAAGTAAAATGTTCTTAATTTAAGTCATTTTCACTTACCTAGATATTGTTTTTATCCAGTGTGTGAGTTTTAAATCATGTTATAATGCTGCTACCTCCTCAAAAACAGACCTGGAGTTGTGTTTTGTTTCATTCAGACATGTTTCAGTAAACCTGGTTTATTAGTCTGTCTACATCTCGAAAGCTCAAAATGATCTGTTCCACCTTTTGATGTCATGAAGTTAAGAGCTACCTTTTACCTTTAGTTCAGTAGAGATGGGCAAGTTTGAAATGATCCAAATGTCTCTAGTGAAGGTGCATCTAGCTGAGTATAAAAACACAGTAGAGCACTTCCTGTATTGTCACATGGCATCACAAGGTGGACCAGAGTTTTAGAGAATAAAGTTTAAGAATAAAGCTTTTCCTCGCCTCCTTCTCCTTGATTCCTCTCCTCGATTCTGCAGGAAATGGATGAAGAAGTCCCTCCCACAGAGGAGACACAGCGAGGAGAGATGATATAAACTCCTCACTGAGACCAATAAAGTTTTATTTGTTTAAAGTTTAAGTTTTATCTGATGTCTCCCTCCTGAAGCCTCCCTCATGTTCACTCCTTCCCTCCATGGTTTTCTTTGGGACACCACTTAATATGGCACATTTGATTGACAGCTGAAAATGGAAAGAGAAATGAGACGCGGCCATAGGCTTAGAGATTAAAAGGATCTGTGTGTAGGCTTCGCTCTTACACTTGAAAAAAGGTATTATAATCACAACTGAACCTTAGTTACCAGTGTCTAAACCTGCAGGTAGAGAGGATTCAGATTAGAGAGATATTTTAAACCAACCTCATTTTAGCACTGAACCTGGCAACCCAAACGAGTGCTCAATCTGCTTTCTGATAATCGACTTGAGAAACAAAACACCAAACAAATGGGGCATAGTTCCAATGTTTTTGCAATTAAGAATACATCAGCATTACAACTGTTACAAGTAAAAACTAGTTTGATTTGAAAAGGTTTATCTCACATCTAGGGACATAGGTAGGACATGTTATGGAAATTAAAATAACATGCATTTCTTTAATTAGTCTATATAATAACCCAATTTATCTAGATCTAAATAAAATAACACAATAAATATTAGTCTCAACAACTCACATTTTTACTGAATTCCACCCTTTACAAAGCAATGTCAGGTTGGACAACTCATGTTACTAAAACACACTTCAAATCATTATATTTAAGATTTAGCTAAAAAGGAAAGCATTTTTCCCTGGTTTATCTTTAGGTGTCAATTGTTACTTCCTAAACCCTACTTTCCAATTTTCCTTTCCAAAATCCATATATATGCCTTTAAGAAAAACTGAGGTGGGACCAAGTCTTTGTTTTGCAAGTCTCAAGTAAGTCTCAAGTCTTTGACCTCAAGTCCGAGTCAAGTCCCAAGTCAAATACAGGCAAGTCCAAGTCGAGTCTCGAGTCACTGATCCATAAGTCCAAAGTCAAGTCCAAGTCGTCTGCTTTGAGCTTCAAGTCATTTCAAGACCTAAACCAAAGTACCAAATTTAGCTTAGATTTTGCAGCTTCTATGATTTTTAAACTAAATTGTACTTTAAAAAGTGGTGGTATATTTATATATGAGTATTTATATAAGAGCTGTAGAAATGCCATTTTTTTCTTTTTAAATGTTTTGACAAGATCTTAGTGCGAATCATTACGGTCAGAATATAGACCAAATTAAGATTTAAAACTGCTAAATAACAGTTATTTTGTCAAGTAGTTCTCTGTAGTTCCGTCTGTTTTATTGTATTGTACTGTATATTACTGTAGTACATTTGAGGATACCACATCACAGTACTTTTCACAGTTCCATCCAAAGTAACAAATAGAGAAGTGGGAGGGACGTGTTCCAGTTTGTTCCTGTAAAATTAATCACCGCGTTTATCAACTGTAACGAGAAAAGTATTTTCTAAAAACATATATATTTTTAGGAGAAGCATCGAGTCTTCTCAAGTCACAGGCCTCAAGTTTGATTCAAGTCCCAAGTCATTGATCTTCAAGTCCAAGTCGAGTCCCAAGTCTTAGTTTGTTTTATCAAGTCAAGTCTCAAGTCCTAAAAATAGTGACTCAAGTCTGACTCGAGTCCAAGTCACAAATCATTCACTTGTCCTCCAATTCCAAAGCTGTTAAAACCCTGGAAATTCTGAAGCAATTTAATTTATACATTTGTATACATTTATACCCTACCCCTCCCCTGGCATTACCTCTATCTATTTTATTGTTTGTTTTTCTTTGTATAATTTGTAGTTATTTATCTATGTAAAAAACAAAACAAAAAACAACTTGTAACCATGATGTACAGTGGGCCAAAGTTGCTCGAAAACACACAGAAATGATTATTTATTGAGGTAAAATTATAACAAAACTCTTATAATACTCTCTAATTTTGTTGGAATGATGTTTAAAGTACCAAAGAAATGTGTTTTATTGTGTGTAAAGTGTGGCTAAGTGTGATGTCAATATGGGTCTCTCCTCTTCTTGTAATTTTCAACATACTTTCAACTTTTCTTCACAATTTGCTTCTTGATTGCTGTAAAACTATAATTTATGTTTACCACAGGTATTATCCCACCCAAAAAAAAAAGTAAAAATGAGAGAATCATCCAAACGTGTCACACTCTTTAATGCTTACTAAATGTTCCCTCACCTCGACCACGTATCCCAGGACAACGCTGCCTCCGTCGTAACAGGGTCCGGACCAGGACAAGACCGGAATACGACCCGAGACCAGAGAGACCAGAGGGCAAGAGGCGGGGGGCTGGGGTCTTTCTGAAGGACACATGGGGAAAAGACTTACGGGGAGTTCTTTTACTGTAGTTTTATTAGTAGTGGTAAGTTTTATTGATACTTTGCAGCTGATGGCGTCAACATTACCTCGGGGTGTGATGCTAACTGAAGGCACTGTTCGGTCTGAGGCTTTGTTAGACTTTAATCTGAGCTTTATTGTAAAAATCTGATCATAAAGAACTAAATGAACTGAGCTACAACAGAAGAGCTGATTTCTGCTGTAACACAAGTCTCTCTCAAATAAAATTACAATCACACTACACAGCAAAAAGTGGAGTATTGACACTGACTCTCACAAAATTAATTTTAACATTTTCTCAGAGTTTATATGAGTCCAATCTGTTCTAGAGTTAATTTAACATTTTTGTTTTTATTAACAAATGTTAATAAAGTAACAGTGGACCAAAGTTTCTGTTTAACCCTGAAATCAAGAGTTATATTAACATTTTGAGAGTAAACGGATAACACTTTGTAGGGTTATCCTGATGTAGCTAAACACAGAGGTGTTTTATTTTTACCCTTTTATTTTAGGATGAAATTATGTATAAAAGTGGTTCAAACTGGTCTTCTTTCGCAGGGCTTTGAAGTGGGAGGTGCCATGTTAACACTAAGTGAAGCTGAATGAAAACTAGTGGAAGTAACTTCCAACCATATTAACTTCAACCATATCATCTCTGGCAAATAACCCCAGCTCGAACCCCCATTTAACTTTCAAATAGTTAAAATAACACTTTTTGTGTTAAAAACAACTCTGAAATATTTTACCCTGAAATTTGAACCCTCCAGTTTTTGCTGTGTAGTTAGTTTTTCACCTTTGCCTTTTTTTTCTCCTTTTTTTCTCCTTTCTCCTAAACATGATCGCTCGTATTGATCACAGGCTCCAGAAAATGTTTAAATACATTTTGTATTTTTTTCTTGAGTTTTCAGACAATCTTAAAACTTTTTTGGCAGTGTTTTTTAACGTGTGCATAGATGGGTTTCCTGTTTCCAAACATACGGAGATGTGCATGCAGTCGGGGAGCAAGAGATGCTAAGCGGCAGAGTGGTTAACATTACAGGTCCTATTGGAGCTCTGTACAGTGTCTGATTAAAACCGGTTTTCTAGTCAGCTGGCTGTTGTAGACTTTTGCGTGGTTTGTGTACTTTTGCTGACACCCTTTAGAATAACATATCATGTCGTGTTTAGCTCTTAATTGTTGGATTTGCTCTCATAATAACATTATATTATGTAAGCGCAGGTAGGCTCAGTTACGTCTCAGGTTGCACCAGCACCATGTTAGGGTTAGTCTTTACTTTCATTCATTAGATTTTAATAGGTTGTTTATTTAATATTTTATGATTTTAATAATAAAAGTGACTGTTATATTTGAGACACAGTGAGTGTGAGTGTGAGTGTGAGTGTGAGTGTGAGTGTGAGTGTGCGGCCTCACCTATGACAGACAGAGTGAGTGTGTGCTGTGCTGAGCTGTGTCTGTCTTTCACTATGACTGTGTATCTTCCGCTGTGGTGGGTCTGGACCTTTGCAATCACCAAGGTACTGCTCCTCTCAGAGTTTTCCAGCCACTGCTCTGAGTCCTCCACGATCTGAACGCAAACACACACAAATAGAGCACAATTACACACATTTCTTCCTAAAATATTCTTATCATTTTCTTCTTTTCTGATCTACAGTATGTTATCATTTTGTTTTCTCATCACCAACAGACCTGGAGTTGTGTTTTGTTTCATTCACACATGTTTAACACACAAACCCTGCGTATTTAGGCTAAGTTCTTCTCGCAGACAAACAAAAAAATGCTCTGTTCCACCTAGTGATGTCATGTGGTAGTACAAGAAGCAGAGGTGGGACCAAGTCGTTGTTTTGCAAGTTTCAAGTAAGTCTCAAGTCTTTGACCTCAAGTCTAAGTCAAGTCAAGTCAAATACAGGCAAGTCCAAGTCCAGTCTCGAGTCACTGACCCAGAAGTCCAAGTCAAGTCCAAGTCGTTTGCTTTGAGCTTCAAGTCATTTCAAGTCTTTAAACCAAAGTACCAAATATAGATTCGATTTTTGCAATTTATATGAAATTTAAGATAAATAGTAATTTTAAAAAATCATAGTATATTTATATTTGACTATTTAGAGAGTATATAAGAGTTGTAGAAATGATTTTTTTTTTTCTTTTTAAATGTCTTGACAAGATCAATGTGAATGTGAATCATTAGCGAGAACAAAAATAATTCAGATTTAAAAGTGCTTCTCGAGCCTTCTCAAGTCAGAGACCTCAAGTCCAAGTCTTAGCCCAGTTTATCAAGTCAAGTCTCAAGTCCTAAAAATAGTGACTCAAGTTTGACTCGAGTCCAAGTCCCCACCTCTTACAGGAAGTGCTCCACTGTGTTTTTAAATTCCACACACCTTCACTAGAATCATTTGGATAATTTCAGCCCTCAACAACAAACAAAATGTAAAATGTAGCTGTTAACTTAACTACCACTTCATGACATCACAAGGTGGAACAGAGCACTTTGAGCTTTGAAGATGTAGACAGGCTAATAATAAAGAGTTACTCAAACATGTGTGAATAAAACAAAACACAACTCCAGGTCTGTTTTTGATGAGGTAACAACGTTAGAACATGTCTTATAGCTCACAAGAGTCAATTTCATGTAATAAAGTTGTGATAAAAAATACCATGCATAAAAATATCTAACATTTTTGGATTTAGTTTTGAGCCTTCTGTCAAAAACAGAGAATGTGCATTGTGTAACTTTTCTAGTGGAGGATCTGTCAGATGCTTTTCCTTCATGGGGGTGTTATTGTTTTGTCTAGAATGTTTCACAGTATGACATTAAACCTTTCTATCTTCATGGAGACCAAACCAGACCAATTTACAGGTCAGATCTGGGTAGAGGCAACAGTTTTTCTAGGTATTTTTGAGCTATAAAACCACCTGCAATAAAAAAAAAAAAAAGTAAGGTAAATCTGTTTAATGTCATACTGTGGAACATTCAGAGCAGAGCAATGACATTTCCATAGAAACAAGCACGTGATGGACCCCCAACTAAAAAGTTAACATAATGCACCTTTAACATACTGTAGTTTATAGTTTTGTTTTGTTTTTATGGACAATAGAGTAGCTTGGTTCCCACCTGCTTTTTATTCCTGATCCAGGCCGATACGACGGGTGGTGTCCCCACGAAGGAGCACGTGAGCCGGGCCTGTTCTCCAGCCTTCACCTCCAGATGCTGTGGAGGATTTTCAAATCGCAGCAGCACCACTAGACACCAAACACACACAAAGAGGCAACAACTTTTTAATAATAATAATAATAGCACTTTATAATAACAATAACTTAATTAATTAGCCTTAATAAAATATTTAAAGGTGCATTGCGTTACGTTTCTGGTGGAGGGTCCGTCAAATGCTTTTCTCCACGGATATGTTATTACTTTGTCTGGAATGTTTCACAGTATGGCATTAAACCTTTCTATCATCATGGAGACCAAACCGTTAAAGTTACAGGTCAGATCTGCGGAGAGGCAAGCCCGGTCACAGTCAGAATGCTTGTTTTTCGAGGTGTTTTTGAGCTCTAAAACCATCTGGGATTGAGATAATGTAAGGTAGAGCTGTTTAATGTCATACTGTGGAACATTCCAGGAAGAGCAATGACATTTCCTGAAACACAAGCAGGTGAGAGACCCCTAAGCAAAAAAGTTACGTGAAGTGCATATGGCAAGTTATACTCATTTCACTAAAAGATATTTAACCTGATTGTATTTTGTCTAGTTTTAAGTTAATAATTTTACAACCATAGTGTAAAAAGGGCCTAACCTAAATTACACACTAGTTATGATTAGATTAATAAAAATGTCTGTATTTAACCAGGACATAAAATGTTAAACTTTGCCAAAATTACAAAACTATACAAAACTAAGCATGTTTTTTTGTGTTACAATTGCAATTGTGTTACAAACAAAACAGAGTGGGGCAGGAAGGAAGGCAGTCCTGTCAGATAAAGGCTTATCTGTGAAGTTTTGCTGTGGCTAGGGCTGCGTTCAAGGCTACACACAATACATCAAACTTGTGACTAAAACCTGGACTAGACCAGGACTAAACCAAGACTAAACTAGGACAATAAAAAGACCAAACAACGTCTTGTAGATGGGACATATGTAAAAAAAAAGAAAAAAACAGACTGTGACACAGCAAATCCGTGTATCACCGTATCGGAAACGATCTGTGTTCAAACACGTCTTCTCTGCGTCTGCAAGCCTTCCTTATCCTCACAGCTTTGAGCATATTTGTTTACGTTTTACAGAAACAAAAACCGCATGGCTAATTTGCATAAACTGAGCGCTCAAAAAAACAGCTCACTATTTTGCGCTGATGCGGTTCAGCTTCTGTCGGACTAAAGGACACAATTCAGTGGATTTTATGTGTTCTTTGTGTGACAGAGGGGTGTTCTGCTGATGGTGAGTCTGTTCTGTGCTTCTATCGCATTGGAGATGGTTCATGTGAATCTTTTCAGAGATTATTCATCTGCAGGTCATACGCACAGACCGTATATATGAATATATGCTACCCTCTTAGCGTTTTGGCGGTGAATTAGCTACTTCACGGTGCATAGAACTACATCAGCGTATCAGTGTATCAGTGTATTCTGGTGTCCACACAGTGTCGGATCAGATCTGTACTCAGATGAATTCGTGGGAGCTGGAGGCACCAGATTGTTCAGTCTCTGGAGCTGTTTTCAATCGGATTAGTGGGGACGAACACTGCATCTGCAATGAAAATGATTCGAATATATACTAGTGTAGACGGGGCCTGTATAAAGAAGTGGACTAAGGTAGCGTGACATCACCCATAGAGTTCAGTTCCAGTCAAATGAAGCTCACAGAGACTAGGGGTTAAAGAGTCTGAGTTCCATGTTAGCAATAGGAATTTACTTACGAGCAAAATAGCAAAATAAAAACAGCAGATCATGTACAAAGGGTAATTACGAACATTTTAAGACCAAAATGAGAAGCCTGACAGCAGCAGTTACAGAAAGAGAAAGAGAAAAGAGATGACAGTTTTTCAATACAAAGTGATCTGGAGCCAGAGTTGATGGATCCAGAAGTGTGCCCATGGTCACGTCCTGTTTGGAATACGGCAGCTAGCAGGTTAGCTATGTCCATTTCTATATACAGTCTATGATTAAAAATGAAAAACCATCTCATGAGAATACCGTACAGTGTCAGAGAAGGGAACAATAAAACATAATCACAGGAAAAAATGTCTCCTGTTGCCAAATATTTTGTTTTGTTCTATTCGGGTCAAGTCACCCATATTTCAAGGCTGATTTTCCACACGCAGACAACAGAGAGAGAGAAACCAGACGCTTCTAAAAACAACGAAAATACATTTTACTATCAGAGGAAGTCACAAAAATTTTTAACGGGCCCATATTAAAAGCATTTTCGGATCTATGTTATAATGTTTCCTCATCAAAAATATGGCTGGACTTGTGTTTCATTTCATTCACACATGTTGTTGAGTTCTTCTCTCAAATAGAAAACACTCTGTTCCACCTCGTGATGTCATGTGGTAATACAGGAAGTGCTCCACTGTGTTTTTAAACTCCATCTTCATTAGAAACATTTAGATGATTTCAGCCCACATCACAATGTGGAACAGAATATTTTGAGCTTTGCAGATGCAGAGTAATGTGTGAATGAAATAAAACACAACTCCAGGTATGTTTTCGATGAGGTCACAACATTTTAACAAGATTTAAGCTCACAAGAGTAAGTGTTGCATAGTACAGGACCTTTAATGAAGTAAAAATATTGCTTAATTCTGCATTAAAATCTAAATATTTTATCTTCTGAATGAGAAAAAGTTCTGGAAATGTTGCATATAACAGGAAGCCAAAACCTATGGAAAATGGTGCAGACTCTTGTTGATAATTCACACACAACTGTCTTAAGTGGAAACAAATGTAAATGGCAAAGAGACCAGTACAACCAGTCCTTATGTAATCAACCACACAGACAAAATCTACACATGACATTTTCTTACTTTCTACTATTTTTCAAAAGTAGTTCAGCAAATATTACTCCACTTGTTTGAATGCCTCATTGTATGCATGGATGTTATTTGACCATACAATACAATTTTACAATAATTTTTTATTGTTTTGTGCATCCTTTTGTGAAGCAGGTGGCCTAATTTGTCAGTTTTGTTCAGTCGACTGTGGCAATAAAGCAATTTCAGATTCAGAAAAAATTCTATCCGTTACCATCAAACCCAAATATTATATAGTCTGAATAGTTCAAAGTTGAATTGGGAATCACAGGGCCTCTCAGGATTCGATACGATTCTCAATACATGACTCACGATACAATATTCTCAAAATATGGCGATTCATTATCACATTATACTTCAGAAACTATATTCATTTTTCTATTTTAATCATCAAAACAGTGAAAGTTTGTTTCTACTAAATAAGCAACAAAATTGTATTGAGGTCACAAAAAATATAAAAATACATATATATATATATACTGCTAAAAATATAATGCTAAAATATAAAACTTGTGTTAGTATATCAATCGGTGGATATTTTGAGGACTTTTTACCTATTTAAAACCCATTTTTACCCATTCCTTAATCGCTATGGCAACGGTTCTATCACCAAATTTACTATCACAATATATCAATATTTTTATATTTTTCTTAAACCGCTATAGTTAAAAGTGCTAAAAATTGTGTTAGTAAATCAAATAAGCTTTTTACCCATTCAAGAGACATATTTTCTTTAACCACTATGGCAATGGTCCTATCACCAAATATCAAGATATATTGATATTTTTGATATTTTTTCACACTTCTGTAGTTAAAAGTGCTCAAAATTGTGTTAGTATATCAATAGGTTGACATTTTGAGGACTTTTTACACCATTCAAAAGATATAATACTTTCTTTAATCGCTATGGCAATGGCCCTATCACCAAATTTAGTATCACGATAAATCCATATTTAGATTTTTTTTTTTACACCTGTTAGTATATGAATGAATTTTGAGGAATTTTTACCCATTTAAAAGATATAACACTTTCTTTAATCGCTACAGCAACAGTCCTATCACCAAATTTTGTAACATGATATATCAATATTTTCATATTTTTTTCCACACCTCTGTAATTAAAAGTGCTAAAAATTATGTTAGTATATCAACAGGCAGACATTCTGAGGACTATTTACCCATTCAAAAGATATAATATTTTCTTTAATCGCTATGGCAACAGTCCTATGACCAAATTTAGTATCACGATATATCGATATGTTTATATTTTTCTTAAACCCCTATAGTTAAAAGTGCTCAAAATTGTGTTAATATATCAATGGGCAGACATTTTGAGGACTTTTTACACCATTCAAAAGATATAATATTTTATTGAATCACTATGGTAATCGTCCAAATTGCTCGTCATTCTGAAACCCGTAAATAATTAGGAAGCTCACACCTATAGCTAAAGGCTCCATCTATGTCTTTTTTATTGCAGTAATCAGGAATAACATAAACTGTATCTCATTACTGTAAAAGGTGAGTTGAATTTGCCTGAGTAAGTCTGATAAAACTCTCATTTGGTTGAAAGGTAGAGATGACTGTTTGGCTTGTTCATCACCAAATGGGCCATTATAAAACATTCCGATTAAAGGTCCCATATTACGCACATTTTTAATTTATGTTTCAATGTTGTTTCCTCATCGCAAACATACCTGGAGTTGTGCTTTGTTTCATTCATGTTTAACACACAAACTCTGCATATTTAGGCTGAGTTTTTATCCCAAACAGAAAACACTTTGTTCCACCTTATGATGTCATGTTGTAATACAGGAAGTGCTCCATTCTGTTTATAAACTCTATACACCTGCATAAGAATCATTAGGATAATTTCAACCCTGGAATTGCCAATCTCGACTGAACAAAAGGTAAAAAGGTAGCTGTTAACTTGAAAACTACTGCTTCATGACATCACAAGGTGGAACGGCGCTTTATAAGCTTTGAAGATGCAGACAGACTAATAACGGAGGCTTACTCAAACAAAACACAATGAATGACTGAAACAAAACACAACTTCAGGTAGGTTTTTGATGAGGTAACAACATTATAACATGACTTAAAGCTCACAAGAGTCACTTTTGCGCAATGTTTGACCTTTTACCACCCTCCGTTTCAATTGAAAATAAATCAGCAGCCCATGTGTAACTCTACCTGCATGGTTGTGACTAATATGACTGACCTCATTTCTTTGTAATAGAAATATATCTTTAGATCTGAGCCAGACCTTTAACTACAAAGTGAAACCACAACCACAACTAAACATGATTCACGGTGCAGCTATAAATGTTAATCAGTTCATTTCGTTTTAGATTTTAACTTGTCGCCGTGTATTAAAGCGGCCATATATTGCGAAACGGTATCATTTCAGGCCTGGAATGATATTTAATGGAGTAAGCTGCTAACATGAAAACTACTGCTTCAGAGCATTAGATTTTTAGAGATGTAGACAGACTAATAATGCAGGATTAACATAACAAACATGCGTGAATGAAACAAAACACATCTCCGGGTATGTTTTTGAGCAGGGAACAGCTTTATAACATGAATAAACGCTCACAATATTCATTTTTGCGTAATATAGGACCTTTAAAGCATATAAGTAATATATGCAGAAGACATAAATTTAACATACAAGTTGAATTTCATATCAAAGACTGCTGTTTTCTTTGTGACACTATCGTCAATAGACTTGGCCTTTCATGATAAAAATAGGTGCAGTCAACCACATCAAGCAAAATGTTGCTCAGCTTTAAGTACACAATCCATTCAAACTCTTAGATCATGGCAGGTAGAAGAAAAGATGTGGTAAAAATAAAACCTTGTCGTAACCAAAAATAATATGTGTTTTTTTTTTTTTTTTCTACATTGCTGCAGCTATGGGTGCGTTCACAGTTGTCTCTGTTGAGTCCTGATTTGGTCCTGTTGTAGTCCAAAGGGTAGACTTGGTTTGGTCCTAGTCTAGTCCTGATGGTAGTGCAGATTTAATCCTGGTGTAGTCCTGGTCTAGTCCCGGTCTAGTCCCGGTTTAGTCCTGGTGTAGTCCCGGTCTAGTCCTGTCTAGTCCTGGTTTAGTCCTGGTCTGGTCCTGGTTTAGTGCATGTCATCTCCTGGTCTAGTCCAAGTCTAGTCCCAGTCTAGTCCTGGTTTAGTCCTGGTTTAGTCCTGGTCTGGTCCTGGTTTAGTGCAGGTCATCTCCTGGTATAGTCTTGGTCTAGTTCTGGTCTTGTCCTGGTCTAGTCCTGATCTACCACTGGTCTAGTCCTGATCTAGTTCTGTTCTAGTCCCGGTCAACTCCTAGACTAGGCTGAGTAAACTCCGGTATTGTCCTGATTTAGTCCTGATCTGGTCTTGAACTACCCCTGATCTAATACAGGTCTAGTCCTGGTCTAGTCCAGGTCTAGTCCAGGTCTAGTTCTGGTTTAGTCCTGATCTAGTTCTGGTTTAGTCCTGATCTAGTCCTGGTCTACTCCCGGTCTACTCCTGGTCCAGTCCTCGTTTAGTCCTCGTTTAGTGCACGTCATCTCCTGGTATAGTCCTGGTCTAGTTCTGATTCAGTCCTGGTTTAGTCTCAGTCTCATCCTGATCAACCCCTGGTCTAGTCCTGGTCTAGTCCTGGTCTAGTCCAGGTCTAGTCCTGGTCTAGTCCAGGTCTAGTCCAGGTCTAGTCCAGGTCTAGTCCAGGTCTAGTCCAGGTCTATTTCTGGTTTAGTCTTGATCTAGTCATTGTGTAGTCATCGTTCAGTTCTGAAGGTAGTCTTAATTTTGATGTGATCTTTGTGCACTTCATGACTAGTACTACTTTTATTAAAAAAAAAAAAAAAGTATGTCAAATCTTTGCATCTTAAGATATATTTATATATTTCTTTTTATACACTAGTTTGCATGTTTACGATTCAGTATCATTCAGTAAAATATCTAATCTAGGTTACTTGTAATACTTTTAAATGAAATTAATCCCAGACAGGGCTGTATATTGTTACATTAAAGGTCCTATATTACACAAAATTGACTCTTGTGAGCTTTAAGTCATGTTATAATGTAAAAACATATCTGGAGTTGTGTTTTGTTTCATTTACACATGTTTGACTAATCCTGCATTATTAGTTTGTTTACATCTCCAAAGCTCAAAATGCTCTGTTCCACCTTGTGATGTCATGTGGTGGTAGTTTTCAAGTTAACAGCTCCTTTTACCTTTTGTTCAGTAGATATTGGCAATTCCAGAGCTGAAATTATCCACATGATTCTACTGAAGGTGTATGGAGTTTAAAACCCTGTATTACCACATGACATCACAAAGTGGACCAGAGTGTTTTCTGTTTAAGAGAATAACAAAGTCTAAATATGCAGAGTTTTTGTGTTAAACATGTGTGAATGAAACAAAAGACAACACCAGGTAAGTTTGTGATGAGCAAACAAACTTGTAACAGGTCAGAAAATTGCGTAATATGGGCCCTTTAATGCTTCTGCTGCTACTACTACTTTTACTACTAGTACTACTTCTGTTATTGCACAGTTTAAAATGAACTTTGAAACATAATAATATAACTGTAGTCAAGTATTATTTCCTACCTCTGCCCTATAATGTCAATATGTTTTAATGCATAAAATTGTATCTAAAATGTTTAAATGTAAAGTATTTGTGGTTCCTACCTGTGCCGGAGTTGGCTCTCTTCTTTGGGATGACTCCTGTGGACAGAGATAAAAGGCAGGTGAAAGTCTGCAGAGGTGTGGCATTGTGCACTCATAAACATAACACAAACTCATGTCTCCCTACATGGAAGTCCTGGTTTAGTTCTGGTTTAGTCCTGTGACAACCCTACTGTGCCATCATAAAAATAACACAATATGATGTCTCCCTACATGGAAGTCCTGGTTTAGTCCTGGTTTGGTCCTGGTTTGGTCCTAGTTTAATCCTGGTTTAGTCCTGGATTGGTCCTGGTCTAGTCCTGGTTTGGCCTTGGTTTAGTCCTAGTCCTGGTTTATTCCTACTTTAGTCCAGTTCCTAATGTACACGCACAGAAACACATATAAACTGCTGTCTCACTACATGGAAGTTCTGGTTTAGTCCTGGTTTAGTCCTGGTTTAGTCCTGGTTTAGTCCTGGTTTAGTCCTGGTTTAGTCCTGGTTTAGTCCTGGTTTGGTCTTGGCCTTGGTTTAATCCTAGTCCTGGTTTAGTCCGGCTTTAGTCCTACTTTAGTCCAGTTCCTAGTGTACACACACAGAAACACATATAAACTGCTGTCTCACTAGATGGAAATCCTTGTTTAGTCCTGGTTCGGTCTTGGTTTAGTCCTGGTCTAGTCCTGGTTTGGCCTTGGTTTAGTCCTAGTCCTGGTTTAGTCCTGGTCTAGTCCTGCTTTAGTCCAGTTCCTAGTGTACACGCACAGGAACACATACAAACTGCTGTCTCCCTAAATGGAAATCATTGTTTATTCCTGGTTTGGTCCTGGTTTAGTCCTGGTTTAATTATATGGTCTACCCCTGTTTAGTCCTGGTTTAGTCCAGTTTTGGTCTTGGTGTAGTCCTAGTCCTGGTTTAGTCTTAGTTTAGTCCTGGTTTAGTCCTGTCTTAGGTATGGTGCACATTCATAGAAAGATTCATAGCAATAACACAAACTGTTGTCTTCCAAAAAGTCCTGGTTTAGTCCTGGTTTAGTCTCGGCTTAATCCCAATTTAGTACCAGTTTAGTCCTGGTTTAGTTCTATGGTCTACTCCTGTTTAGTCCAGTTATAGTCCCGGTGTGCACTCATGAAGATATCACATACAAACTGTTATTTCCTTACATGGAAGTCCTGGTTTAGTCCTAGTTTAGTCATGGTTTAGCTCTGGTTTTGTTCTGGTCTAGTCCTTGTCTAGTCCTCGTGTAGTCATAGCTGAGCCCTGGTGTAGTTCCGTTTTAGTGCTGGTTTAGTCCTGCTTCCCTATATGGAATTCCTGTTCCTAAGTCCTGGTTTAGTTATGGTGTAGTCCTGTTATAATTCTGGTACCTATTTGGTCTTTCTTTAGTCCTGGTTTATCTTTTGGTAATTGATGGTGTTTGTACCAGGTTTACTCCCTTTTGGTTTTAAGATAGTCCTGGTTTGGTTCTTGTCCTTGGTCCTGGTTTAAATGTTCAACCCTACCTTCTTAGCTGGTGTAGACCTGGTCTGGTCCTGGCTCAGTCCTGGTGTAGTCCTGATTCAATCCTGGTTTAGTCTTGGTTCAGTCCTGGTTCAATCCTGGTTTGGTACTGGTTCAGTCCTGCTTTGGTCCTGGTTCAGTCCTGCTTTGGTCCTGGTTCAGTCCTGGTTCAGTCCTTGTTTAGTCCTGCTATCACTATAGTTTTTTCAAGTCGCCTGGGACCTGAGAACAAACTGAGCTGTAAAGTCTTATATTACAGTGCAGTTTTAAAGAGGCCAATCCGAACAAACTGGAAGTGATGCGTTTCCTTGTGTTCAGAAACATTTACAGGAAGGACAACAATGTATGGTTAAGTGGCTGGATATTCCAGAAATACCGACGAAGGTGCACTATGTAACTTTCTGGCTGGACATCAAACAGCTCTTCTTATATTTATTCAATTACAGGTGGTTTTATAGCTCAAAAATACCTAGAAAAACAGACAGTCTGACTGTCGCCTCTCCACAGATCTGACCTGTAACTTGGTTTATAAAGGTTTAATACCACACTGTGAAACATTCCAGACAAAGCAATAACATCTCCATGGAGAAAAGCATTTGATGGACCCTCCACTAGAAAAGTTACACAAAGATTCCAGTGCCTTTGAGAATAATCGTCATGCTGCTTGTGTTACTGCCCATGGGGATATTACACAAAGTGCTGTTTAGAAGTTTTGTTGAAAAAGTAAGTTTTGCTTTTTTACATTAATGAATCAGCTCTTAAAGGTGCATTGTGTAACTTTTCTGTTGGAGGGTCAGTCAAATTATTTTCTCTGTGCAGATGTTATTGCTTTGTCTGGAATGTTTCACAATGTCATATTAAACCTTTCTATGTTCATGGAAACCAAACCAGACCGAGTTACAGGTCAGATCTGTGGAGAGGCGACCCCGCTCACAGTGAGAATGCTTGTTTTTCTAGGTATCTTTGAGCTATAAAACCACCTGTAATTTATTTCATTTAAGGTAGAGCTGTTTAATGTCATACTGTGGAACAGTCCAGACAGAGCAATGACATATCTACAGAAACAAGCAGGTGATGGACCCCCTAAACAAAAAGTCTCATAGGCTACGTTTATATGATGACAGTCTGAGCAGAAGATGCAAAAGTGGTGTTGTGTTTTCACTTTTTATTCCATGTTTAGACAAGCGTTTTCGGGAGGAAATCTGCGTGCATACCGTGTGTCGATTGCATATGCTTGTACTTAAAGCAACAAGGGCATCTTTGGACATATGGAAGTTTTTACGACACACATTTTCATCAGCTACTCCTTCCACAAAGTTGTCCCATCGACTTCTTCTTCTAGGTCTCGTCCATAGTCATCTGGCTCGCCTGCGACGAACTAGTGCATCCAGAATTTAACAGAGGTAACTGCAGATCCTTTTCTGTTCACTAACAGTATCTCTGCATATTCTGTACATTTGTTGAGAGCCTCCTGTAAGTTTATTAGAACTGTCAGAGCTGCTTGAAGGTCCGACGCATGGGAATGATCTGACATGTTTGTTTCTGTGTAAAGTATGTGTGTGACGTAAACATGTATGCGACGTGAGCAGATCTGACCAGAGTTTTGCTTGAGTCTTGGGCAGTGTAGACGGAAACGCTACAGCGGAGCGTATTCAACTTTTCCAGTCTGGACGATGGTTTCAGATTTTTGCGTTTTTAAGCAAAAAACAGACAGCTGTCACTGTCTAAAAAAAAAGGCACTTTAGATCAAATATTTTGTCTTTTTTACCCACAAGCGTTCTCGTGTAAACAGGACCATAGTGCACTTTTAAGGTCAAGGTGAGATCACTGTATTCTGTCTGCATCATAGTCTGTACAAAGAAGTGGGCTAAGGGAGTGTCACGTCACCCACCGCGTTCAGCCCCAGTCAAATGAAGCTCATTAAAGCCTGCTGTCACTGAGGCAAATTTGGAGCAGAGTTCCTTATTTGGAATTCCGACAGTGAGTATCATAGTGCATACATACTCACTTCCTATTCAGAATGTGGTGGCCAGTGGGTTAGATATGTCCCTTTATATATACAATATATGGTGTGCATCTAATTATAAAACATTTTATCATCAGAAAACCAGGAAGTAACATGGGCGTGCTGTCAGTTTTTTGTTTTGTTTTGTTTGTTTTCTGTTTAAGAGAAGAACTCAGCCTAAATACGCAGGATTTGTGTGTAAAACATGTGAATAAAACAAAACACAACTCCAGGTATGTTTGTGATGAAAAATACAAAATATGAACAATTATCCACAATTATAACATAGACCAGAAAATGGATTAATATTGTGAACTCCAGTATCAGTTGTCTTACCTCTCGGAGATGTGACTGGACTTGGTGTGTGAGACCCGCTGGAAGAGACGGAGGAACTCGACTTAAAGACCTCATCTGTAGGAGAAAACGGGGAGACTCCATTTCCCATGATGCAATTGGTCGGAGAAGTGAGAGAGATCGAGGCTTGTTTTTTGATGCTGCAGATGGTTTCAAAGTCTGGGTTTGGCGTCAACAACGGAAAAGAGAAGAAAAAAGAAGAAGAGAGAAAGAATTCATTGTTATGTCAAAATATTCACATCACTTTTTGAGTCTGAGTTAGTTCTGGTTATATGTTCTATTAAAGGTACACTGTGTAACTTTTCCGGTGATTGGATGGAGGCCCTGATGTCTCCAAGTCGGCGCTACAGAATTATTTTAAAGGTGCACTGTGTAACTTTTCTGGTTGTCTCCATTACTGCAGATGTTTTACTATCTCAGAAAATAAAAATAAAAAACTTGGATTCTTTCTGTGAGTGCATGGTCTTCCTATATCCATAGATCTGGCTTGTAATCCTATCCCTATCCTGGTAGTTCCACCCGTTTGTCTCCATGGAGATAGATAAATGTAATGCTATGCTGTGGAACATTACAGGCAAAGCATCTCCAATGGGAAAACAGCAGACTACCATCTACTAGAAAAGCTACACAATATGCTTTTAAAAATTCAGTCACTTAGATCTTGGAGAGAAAGTACTACCTCTACTGTAAGTTTGGCTGTATTCTCTAATAAATACCAGTTTTCTTATCCAAATATTTTCCAGATATATACAGATAAGTCCGTGTTTTGTCCATGAAATTAGGTCTCTAGTTACCTCTTTAAGGAAATTAAAATGTATTATGTATCCATAATTATGGATCTGTTCACACTTGAACCCAGTTTAGCCCCAACTTGTTTCAATCCTGATCCGGACCGTTGCTAAATGGCCCGGAAAAGTATTTGACTATTTGTAACAGTATTTGTATTGGAGCAAAAAATGTCTTGCCCCAGTACAGATATATTGTATAATAAGCCCTAGAAGTCCAAATAAATCCACTGTGTTATAGTCCGAGAATCAACAACTCACCCTTATGTAAAAGATAATACTCCCTACAACTATACAACTCACCCTTATCTAACAGATAATACTCCCTACAACTGTACAACAACTCACCCTTATGTAACAGATAATACTCCCTACAACTGTACAACTCACCCTTATGTAACAGATAAATACTCCCTACAAACTATACAACTCACCCTTATGTAACAGATAATACTCCCTACAACTGTACAACAACTCACCCTTATGTAACAGATAATACTCCCTACAACTGTACAACAACTCACCCTTATGTAACAGATAATACTCCCTACAACTATACAACTCACCCTTATGTAAATCAGATAATACTCCCTACAACTGTACAACAACTCACCCTTATGTAACAGATAATACTCCCTACAACTGTACAACAACTCACCCTTATGTAACAGATAATACTCCCTACAACTGTACAACAACTCACCCTTATGTAACAGATAATACTCCCTACAACTGTACAACAACTCACCCTTATGTAACAGATAATACTCCCTACAACTGTACAACAACTCACCCTTATGTAACAGATAATACTCCCTACAACTGTACAACAACTCACCCTTATGTAACAGATAATACTCCCTACAACTGTACAACAACTCACCCTTATGTAACAGATAATACTCCCTACAACTGTACAACAAACTCACCCTTATGTAACAGATAATACTCCCTACAACTGTACAACAACTCACCTTATGTAACAGATAATACTCCCTACAACTGTACAACAACTCACCCTTATGTAACAGATAATACTCCCTACAACTGTACAACAACTCACCCTTATGTAACAGATAATACTCCCTACAACTGTACAACAACTCACCCTTATGTAACAGATAATACTCCCTACAACTGTACAACAACTCACCCTTATGTAACAGATAATACTCCCTACAACTGTACAACAACTCACCCTTATGTAACAGATAATACTCCCTACAACTGTACAACAACTCACCCTTATGTAACAGATAATACTCCCTACAACTGTACAACAACTCACCCTTATGTAACAGATAATACTCCCCTACAACTGTACAACAACTCACCCTTATGTAACAGATAATACTCCCTACAACTACAACAACTCACCCTTATATAACAGATAATACTCCCTACAACTGTACAACAACTCACCCTTTATGTAATATAATACTCCCTACAACTATACAACAACTCACCCTTATGTCACAGATACTACTCCCTAAAATTGTGCAACAACTCAACCTTATGTAACAGATAATACTCCCTACAACTGTACAATAACTCACCCTTATGTAACTGATAATACTCCCTACAACTGTATAACAACTCACCCTTATGTAAAAGATGACCCTACGTCCTGTCAATCATCATATCATCTTTGCATTGTTTTTCCTATGCCCTCTTGTATATAGCTGAGATATTTTTATTACTTATTTTCTACTTTATTTGGACTTGTGCATGTACATTTATATAATTATGCCATAAACCTTATTCACACAGGATTAGTATTACCTGTGGACCTTAGGTGACTTGTAATAATTGCGGAGGATGCCTGAAAATTTAATACCGTGTGAATGCGCCGTGTCTGCAATTTGTAAAGTAAAAATTCTGCAGCAAATTACCTACTATATTTCAACAAACACAGGCGTCCGGTGAGAATACTATTCCGTGCGAATCTGCATCTCAGTGTTTGTTGGTGTAATTGAGCTTTTCTTGCTCTATAGCCCTATTCACACAGGATTCTTTTTTTATGGGGTGACATGGGATAAAATAATAATTACCGGGGAATTTTTTGTGTTCTTTCCATGTTCTTCTCTCTTTCCATCTCAGTCAGTGTCAGTTAGTAGTTTTCAAATTACCAGACCTCCTCAGGTTGTACTTATCCCGTGCGAATTGGGCTTATTGACACCTGTCTCTTGCTATCTTTCTTGTTACTTATTTAGAATTTATTATTACCATTTATATTTTTGTCTTTGTTATTACAGTGTATTGTGATACGTCAGCTACTGTGTTCAAGTAATTTCCCTTGTGGATCAATACATTTTGTTAAGTCAAAGAATCAGGAGTGATAGCAAAACTCAGCTCTGGCTTCTGAGTGTGGCGACAAATGCTTGTAAAGTCAGAATGCATAACGTAAGTGAGGAATAACTTTGGGCCACTGGAAACCCTTTTAAAGGGCCCATCTCATGCAAAATAACTCTTTTCACATTGTATCTTCTGCACATAAACAAGCACAATTTGGATTTTGGAACATCCATTACACAATAGTTATGAAATATTACTGATTTCTTGAAGGCAGTTACAGACCAGGAACTATGAAAGGCCAACTATTGCTCATCCCCCCGCCCATCCTGAGAAAGCACAGGCTCCGCCCTCCAAAAGGGACGTAGGCTCTGAGTGAGCCGTAGGCTCTGAGTGAGCCGTCCTTCCTCCGCCCATCTCAGGGAGGGAGGGGGAGACAGGCGTTTAGCGGTCTGATAGTGGTAGGAATAAACTTATTCATCATGGTGATACAGCGCGTTCAGCCACATGTGTTGGACCCGGAGTGGGATGAGGACTTGGAGGTGCACAAAGCTCAAGCACCACGTCGACTACAGCTGAACATTACTGATTGTTAAAGTATTAATAAACGCTAGTAGATAAACATATTATATCGTGTACACTGCAGTGTAGAACAAAAAGCTTATGCTGTCGCTTTTGTTTAAGTGTTCATGTGGGAATTGTCAGCCAATGCGGGGTGGAGGTGGGGCGGAGGCAGTGGATGCGGGGTGGAGGCGGTGGAGCGGGGCAGGGGTACGGGTGTGAAGCATCTTCTGCTACGTCAAACGCATCATAGGTGTAGCTGCCGTGTCATCGTTGTAGCAGCTTTAGTTCGTGTCACGTGTGAAGGTGGCAGAAATATGCTGCAATTTGTTTAAAAAATGGATGGAATCAATCTAAAAAACACTTTGGCTACATATACAAGGCTCACACATCACTCTTAGAAGGAGAAAGCTGTGAAAAGTTGATTTAGCATGAGATGGGCCCTTTAATATGCACCAGTTTTTACACATTTTTAAGGCAGTAAAATCAGGTACAGCGCCTTTAAGTCCTGATCTAGTCCAGGCTTAGTTTTCGGTTTAGTTCTGGTTTAGTGCCAGGTTTGATGTGGCGAATGAGCAAGTGTGACTAAGAATAAAAATCTAGGTTCTAAGAATGGTTTTACTTTTAATTATTTAATTGTCCATGCCCACATTTGCCCTGTGGCACAGTGTTGTCACCTCATCAAAAACATACCTTGAATTGCTGTCTTTCTTTCACACATGTTTGAGTAATCTTTTATTATTACTCTGTCGACATCTCCAAAGCTCAAAATGTGCCGTCCAACCGTGTAATGTCATGTCGCGGTAGTTTTCAAGTTAACAGCTTTTATCTTTAGCTTAGTATAGACTGTAAATTCCTGAAGTGAAATGATCCAGATGATTCTAGTGAAGATGTGTGGAGTTTAAAAACACAGTGGAGCCTAACTTCCTGTATCACCACATGACATCACGCGGTGGAACAGGGCGTTTTCAGTTTGAGAGAAGAACTCTGCCTAAATATGCAGGGTTTGTGTGATAAACATGTGTGAATGAAGCAAATGTTGTACCTCTGATGAACACAGCGGCGGACGAGGAGGTCTTCCCCGAGCTGTTCTCCACTAAACAGGTGTAGGCTCCGGCATCTTCAGGTAAACTCTCCCTCACCACGAACATCACCTCCCCTCCCTCCACCGAAGACTGACCGAACCGAGCCACGTTCCCTGGACACAGCAAACCAAAGACACATTTTTATAGACAATTATAACTACAGTGTATTGATACTTTCCAGTGACATCATGCTGGGGGTGTTCTACATGTATCTGCAATGGTGGAATGTACACAAAACACACATGGTAGTTTTCAGCTGTTTTTTTTTACCTTTTTCCTGGACTGAAATGATCCAAATGATTCTAATGAAGGTGTGTAGAGTTTAAAAACACAGTGGAGCACTTTCTGTATTACCTCATAGTATCATAAGGTGGAAGAGAGTGTTTTCAGTTTAAGAACTCAGTGTAAATATGCAGGATTTGGGTGTTAATCATGTGTGAATGAAATAAAACACAACACCGGATCTGTTTGTAATGAGGAAACTACACTGTAACATGGATCAACAGTGTAACCTCTAAAGATGCATTGTGTAACTTTTCCGGTGCAAGGTCCATCAGATGCTTTTCTCCATTGAGATGTCATTCATTTGTGCTATACAAAAAAAGTTTGATTGATTGATTGATTTGTCTGGAATGTTTCACAGAACGGTATTAAACTTTTCTGTCTTCATAGAGACCAAACCAGACCAAGTTACAGGTCAGATCTGTGGAGAGGCGACCCCGCTCACAGTGAGAATGCCTGTTTTTCTAGAAAACCACCTGTAATTGAATACATTTAGAGTAGAGCCGTTTAATGTCATACTGTGGAACATTCCAGGCAGAGCAATGACATATCCAAAGAAACAAGCAGGTGATGGAGCCCCAACCATAGACTGTATATATGAGTGGACACAGCTAACGTGCTAGTCTGCCAAATAGGAAGTTCTCCAGGAGGCTCTTTCGGCTCCTTCTGACTCTGGTCCAATTGATTTACATTAGAATCTTGTCACCCCTCTCTCTGTAACTGCTGCAGTGAGTGTCATCATTTTTATCTTAAAATGTTCGTGTTAACTCGCAACACATGATCCTGAATTTTTTTTCTGCTATTTTGTCCGTCCAAAAAATTCTGCTCATAACATAGAGCCTGGCTCCAGATTCGCTCCTGTAACTGTTAGCAACGTGAGCCTCATTTGAGTGGCGCTGAACGCTATGGGTGATGTCACGCTTAGTCCACTTCTTTTATACAGTCTATGGCCCCAACCAAAAAGTTACACAGTGCTAATACAGGCTCTATTCACCCTTAGGTCACAAACCAGGAAGACGTTTGGAAACATGCAATGACAACTTTCAGTGTAGTTCCTGACATTGGGCTCACTGACCAACTGTGATAAAACCCACTGAAGTAAATGTGATCAGCGGTAAAATGAAGACTGCATATGTTTGTGCTGTTTGGAATCATCTGGAATTTGGCTCCTTATCTCTTCTAATCGCATGTACCTAATGTGCTCAGAGTTGTGCATCTTTGGGGAAATGATGAAAACTTAGGTATGGTTGTAATTGTTGATTAGCCGAATATAATGAAACAATACAACGACACGTAGATGACGAAAACTGGGGCATTTTTTCATTTTTCTTTCTACCACAAACAGAGCCCGTCGGAAGTTGTCATCACATGTTTCCAAACGTCTTCCGGGTTTGTGAACATAAGTGTGAATAGAGCCTATTGCTAAGCTTTTTCCCCCCTCACCGTTGTGCATCCATGACACTGTGACTGGCTGGCTCCCTCGGATGGTCCCCCTCAGGGTGAAGTCTGTGCCCTCGTCCACACATACGTCCTGTAGGGGGCGCACAAACACCGGAGCCTCTGGACATCCCACACCAGAGCTCCCTGAAAACACAGAAATAGGTCATTCACTCATGTACCCCGGTTTGGTCCTGGTTTAGTCTTGCCTGACCGGAAGTACTCAATGTTGTTACTTAAGTAAAAGTACAGATACAGGAGCAAAAGTTTACTCAAGTAAAAGTAAAAGTATCACATGAAAAAATCTACGTAATGGTGTACTATGTCATTTTCTTGTTGGGGGTTCGTCATCTGTTTGTTGTTTTAATATGGATATGTTATTGCTCTGCCTGGAAAGTTCAAGAGTGGGGTCGCATCTCCACAGATCTGACCTGTAACTTAGTCTGGTTTGGTCTCCATGAAGTTAGAAAGCTTTAATACTGTGAAACATTCCAGACAAAGCAATAGCATCTCCATTAAGAAAAGTATTTGACGGACCAGAAAAGTTAGAAAATGCTCCTTTAAGTAAACCTATCAAAGTACCTGATTAAAAATGTACTTTAAAAGTAAAAAGTAAAAGTATTTTGCAAAGAGTTTTAGAACAGTTAAAGTGTCACATGTATGTATCTGTGATTTTGATAAAGAATTTTACAGATTTTAAGTCATTAAATTGATTTATTTATTTTTCTAGCTGTTTTTGTGCACATGTGTGTTTGGTTTGCTCAAAGCTGGGACATTAACTCATATTAAATGTGTTAAAATAAGTAAAAAGTACTTTCTACTTTTCAGTCCAGATCTAAAATGTAGTGGAGTAGAAAGTACAGATACATGCTCTCAACTGCGGTGAAGTAAAAGTAAAAAGGAAAGTACAGATATCTAAACATACTACTTAGTGCTGTCATGCGATTAAAAAAATTGAGAGATTAATTAATTATGATCTGTAATTAATTAATCTAATTAATCTCATTTTAATCTCACCTAAAAATTGCTGAGAAAAGCCTTCAATTAGAGGTATTTTCATTTAAATTCATTATTACATTATTGTGGCAGATCAAAAGACTAATATAGATTTAAAAAGTGACTTTATAAAGTCATTTATTGTTTAACAAATCTCTCCAAATTGGCTGTTGAGCCCAAGTCTCCATGAATAAGAAACTGTTTGCTGTAAAGTAGCAAAGACGAGGAAATCTGAACATAATAACTTTTGTCTACTTAAAGACAATAAAAAGTCCAGTCTTTCCTTAACCATATTAAAAATATTATTGATAGAGAAATGCTTTATATATGAGATCACTGGTTTTAGTCCTGGTTTAGTCCTGGTTTTAGTCCTGGTTTACTGGTTTAGACCTGGTTTAGTCCTGGTTTAGTCCTGGTTTAGTCCTGGTTTAGTCCTGGTTTAGACCTGGTTTAGACCTGGTTTAGTTCTGGTTTTAGTTTCTGGTTTAGTCCTGGTTTAGACCTGGTTTAGACCTGGGTTTAGACCTGGTTTTAGTTCTGGTTTAGACCTGGTTTAGTCCTGGTTTTAGTCTTGGTGTTAGTTCTGGTTTAGAGGCGCACAGGAGGAAGCGCGGTTTACGCCGCGTACGCGAGAAAACACGATCCACACGCGGCTCACGGGAGCACGTCGGTGTCCGCGCAGTAACTACGGAAGGAAACGTGGTCCGCGCGTTCTCAGGTTAATGACGATGATGAAGGTGTGTGTTTGTGTGTGTTTGTGTGCGTGTCCCCTCATGTGGCAGGTCACTATAGGACAGTAGTGCAGACATCATGAGCCTATGCAGGTTGTTTTCAGGCGATATTATATTTGTTATTTTCTTTTATATTTCACGTCGGGAGAATAATTTCCAAGACACGAATGTGTTTTTACCTGTGCACTGCTGCCTCTGTTCTACTGGCTCTTCGACCTCGTCCACTGTGTGACTGACGCCGCCAACGTGAACATGACGTTTACATCGCTCTTACTGCGCGTGTTTTTGTGTGGGTTTCCGGCAATGAGTGGAATTACCGAAATAAAAAAATGTATAAATGTGTTTTGTGTGTGTGTGTGTGTGTGTTGTTGTCCCAACAACACATAAAAACAGGTTTTATAAATAAAAAACTCACATACAGAAACACTAAAGTTAGAGATTAAAAATGAGATTAACGCGATTAAAAAACATAACGCGCTAAATATGACTGTAATTAATTAATCGCAATTAACGCGATAATTTGACACCCCTAATACTACTACTAGTATTGTACTTTTACTTTTGTACTTCCAGGTCCCTTCTACATTCTGTTTGAATCCAGAAGAGACTGCCACCTGACAATAGAGCGTGAAAATCCTCCATCCAAACTTGAAATGATCCAACCACACATAATTTGTATCACCAAAATTCTCGTAACATTCAGAACAAAATATATCACTTATTTTACCTGAGATAAGTAACAGTTGGTGCTTTGATTGTTGATTCTGAGAAATTCCAAGGCGTTTCTTTTTTACATCTAAGCAGCCATGTTTGTTTTTGACGCGAGCGGAGCATGGCTTCTTTCTGATTGGTTAATCCACCTGCCAATCACGCCCTTTGAAATTGACAGGATACAGCTCCAGATCCACTCATCTTTGAAAAGTTCTGTCCTAGCATGTGGTTTTGACAAGCCAGGTAATGTTTTGATCTGATGTACACTTAGAAAAACTTTGTTGATCCACAAGGGAAGTTACTTTGCTGAGTTGTTGTACAGTTGTAGGGAGTATTATCGGTCACATAAAGGTGAGCTGTTGGTATGAATGTAGTCCTGTATCTCTCACTGTTTGAGCAGAGCTGTGGGACCCTGGTTTAGTCCTGGTTTAGTCCAAGTTTAGTTCCAGTTTTGATGATGAGTGCAGCCAAAACAACCAACATCTATCAAGTACAGTGTGGGTGGATCAGATTATAAAAGCACAAAGGGAGTTGTACAGAACGTATTGCACAATGGTTCCGCAAGCCCACACTAAATCATAAGAAAATACTACGGATTAAAGGCCAACTGTCTCTATTCATGCAAATGTTATTGCTTTCCCTAGAATATTCCACAGCATGGCATTAAACTTATCTGTCACTGATTACATTGCGGGGTTTTTGATGTTGAAAAAATGCCTTGGCAAATACGTATTCTTACTGTGAACAGATCTGAGCTGTAACTTGACCATGTGGGCTTGTCTCAATGGAGGTAGGTGAGTTTAATGTCATAATGTGGAAGATTCAAGGCAAAGCAATAACATCTTCCTGGAGAGAAGAAGGTTTCAGACTCTCTTTGGTCTGTTTATGTTGAGGTAGTTGAATCCTAAATTCACTGTTGGGCAAGTTACTTCAAAACTGTAATGCGTAAGTAATTTGTTACATTACAATTTGACTGTATTTAAAATGTAAGGGATTACGTTACTATTGCATTACTTTTAAGTTACTCTCACAAAAATAACTGTGTGGAGATGCTGAACTTTTGCGCTGTATATGGACTGAACCAGGACTAAACCAGGACTAAACCAGGATTAAACCAGGACTAAACCAGGACTAAAGCATGTCTAAACCGAGGACTGAACCAGGATTAAACCAGGACTAAACCAGGACTAAAGCATGTCTAAACCGAGGACTGAACCAGGAGGACTGAACTGGGTCTAAACCAGGACTAAACCAGGACCAAACCAGGACTAATCTTGGACTAGGATTTGGAATCTAGTACCATCCCTTAGCAGGGTGTCCTCAAAGTGCGATCGGGCGTCAGCTGCGATCAGCACTGTGGGCCGTGGAGCTCTGCACTGGTCCTTTCACCCGCGGTTAGCCAATGGTGTTCGCGGGCACACCTCTGGACCCGTCCCGACATTCGGAACTGTAATGATGGCGTTTCACCACTGCTGGTATTGCGGTGATTTTTGCAAATTTGTATGAAGAAAAACGAAAAACCCACCACTTCACTCAGGTTAAAAATGCATTGTAACACAGGTTACTGACATTTGTACCAAGTAAAATATAAAAAAAAAAAAGTTCCCCTGTAATGCCTTACATTACTGCTTTACTGCAAAAAGCAATGCATTACAGTAATTTGTTACTTTTATAACTCGTTACCTCCTCAAAAACATAGACCCGGAGTTGTGTTTTGTTTCATTCTCACATGTTTGACTAATCATTTATTGAATGTCTGTCTACATCTCCAAAGCTCAATGCTCTGTTCCAACTTGTGATGTCATGTAGTGGTAGTTTTCAAGTTAACAGCTCGTTTTAGCTTAAGTTCAGCAGAGATTGGCAATTCCAGGGCTGAAATTATCCAAATGATTGTAATGAAGCTGCATAGAGTTTAAAAACAAACTGGAGCATTTCCCTTCCTGTATATGACATCACAAGGTGTAACAATGCATTTTCTGTTTGAGAGAAGAACTCAGCCTAAATATGCAGGGTCTGTGTGTTAAACGTGTGTGAATAAAAGAAAACACAGTGCCGAGTATGTTTGTGATGAGGAAACTACATTACAACATAGGTCATAGGCCCTTTAAAGTCTATTACAGAAATATGTGAATTATGCAGAGTACAATAGATGGACAAATCTATTGCAAAGAGGGTGGATGGCATGCTTCACCACAGGAATGCTGTTTAATTCTGTGACGCATTGGTTTCTTTTTACATTTTGCATGTTCTCGCTGTGTCTGGATGGGTCTCCTCAGGGCACACTGGTTTACCTCAGCTTGACATAGGTTAATTTTCCACCTAGATAATCAAGATGTTGCTTCAAGATTAGAGGCCCAACCTCCTTGTCAAAGCCTAATCTCATCAGATCTCTGAAGCTAAGCAGGGCTGGGCCTGGTTAGTGCTTTGATGGGAGACCGCTGGGATTATCTGGAAAAACTGTTCTTGTGTTCTTAGCATAGACTGTATAAAGAAGTGGACTAAGGGAATGTCACGTCACACATAGCAGTTGGCTCCAGTCAAATGAAGCTCACTGAGTTAGACAGTTATAGGGGCAAATTAGGAATAGGAACTGGTTAACACACAAAATACCGAAATATAAACACCAGGATCAAATAGAGCGGGTTAACAAGCATGACAGAAGCCGTTACAGAGAGAGGGGACGTTTTTTCAATATAAAGTGAACTGGAG